CTCTGGGGTGGCTGACCACTACACATGTGTCTCTTTGGTGGCATTAATTATTTAAGCATACAATTCCTATGTCTCTTTAGATGGTAAAAAAATACCTTTGACAGCATCCCTCGGCTGGCTATAACAGTTGTATGACTTTTCCTGTCTAAACAAGCATAGAATTGCAACTTAAACAGTCTTAGCATTCTTACTGTTGAGAAAATCTCGGTGTCCATGGTGAGGCTTTTCTTTTTGAGTGAATTAGCACATAGCTGCTTTCCAATACAATGTGCATTATTAAATTTCTGAATCCACCTTGTTTGTTGTTTTCTTGTTTATGGTGACCCTTGAAAACGACCTATCCTTCACAGCCCTACTCAGCTCTTGTGAAGTGAAGGCTGTGGCTATGGCTTCCTTCATGAAATCAATCCATCTCTTAGCAGTTATTTCCCCTCTTCTTCTGCTGTCATCTTCCTCTAGTGTTAATGTCTACTCCAGCGACTCTTGCCTTCTCATGATGTATCCTAAGTACAACAGCTTCATTTTTGTCACTTTCATTTCCAGGGCAGGTTCTGGATTGATTTGATCTAGGAGCCTCTTGTTCATCTTTCTGTCATAGCAGGGTATTGCCAAAGCTCTCCTCTAGCACCAAATTTCAAATGCATCAATTTTCTTCTGTCAGCTTTCTTCACTATCCAGCCTATACACAGTGATCAGAGGCACAATAGGAGCAGTCAGGAGCAGCAGAGGAACTGCAGCTATAGGAAGCCCTGTGCTGCTGAAGCCAGTCCTGGAAAGAAGAGCTTGGTCTTATATGGCTCCCCCCTGCACAGCTGGCATTCATCAGTTGAATGAGAACTCCAGCAGGGCTTGGGACTGATCCTGATTCTATATAGTGGTAAGTTGTTCTTGTCCTGGCCAACAGAGTGACCCAGCTCCTAGCCTGGCCCTGACTCTGGCCTGACCAGAAATTATAGATACACAAAAATTTTTAATATATTTTCTGATGCACACATTTCTGAAATAATCTACCTGATTCTTGTTGCTGCCGGCAGGAGAAAGTGAGGAGGTATGGCGGCAGAGTGGTGCTTCTTGGCTCCAGGTGGATCAGTGAGCCCTTTACCAGCTGGAAGAAGAAACAGACATGTGCACCACCAAAAGTAGCAGCAATTCACATGCAGAACCAAAGAAGCAAGGAAGTCTACCCTGAATCAGTGTCCCTTATTCCCTAGTTTCTCCATGGTGCAGATGTCCTCTCTGAGCAGTTCCTTTGGGTTCAACTTATAAATGAATTAATAAAGAGAAAGAAGCTAGGGGATTTCAGTTTTGCCTATTTAAACATACACTGAAGAAAGCTTGTTCCATGAGTTATTGTTTGAATTCTCAAAAGACTATTATTCCTCAAGACAACGACTGTATGCTTCAAGTGCTATTAAACTATCTTATCACTTACAAATAAATTGAAAGCCAAGTACTACTTTAGATTCCTTTTCTTTCTGGAATAGACAGGTAGAATTCCTGGCACAAAAATCTATAAACCATAATTTTGTTAATTTGTGATTTATTTTGTAAACAGCCATTGAAAAATCAATTTTGAGGACAGCCATCGAAAAAAATCAGTAACTCAATTATGCCAATAATGAAACTAATAATCCTATAAAAGATGTATGGAAACTTGTTGGCTTAGGTTTACTTCCTGTAACCCTAACCCAACTAAGAAATAGAACCCAAAGGGGGTGGGGAGGGAAGGGTAAAGTGAACCTAGAATTTTTTGCAGGGGGGAAAAAATACCCAGTCCTAACCAGATTTTATGCAACTATAGGTCACCAAAAAGCAACAACCAAACAAGAAACAATGCAAAATAGATGCTGTGCAGAAAGGAGAATGAGTCAAAGGAAAAGAAAAAACCTGATTCTGAATAATGCTGGATACCGAGGGTAGGAAATTGAGAATGCAAAAGTAAAGATAGTTAAAGGTGATGATAAAAAGTGAGATTACAAAGTCAGATGACTAAATAATGACAATAAGAGAAAAGTGAATCAAAATAGAACATACAGAACAATTTAAGAGTAAGAAAAAGGATGCAAACTTGACAGAAATGAGAAGCTAAAATGATTAATGAAGTGCTGATATAAAAGATTTGTAACTGGAACAAGGAATGAATTTCCTGAAAGCCATGTAGAAGTCAGCAGAAGTAGGAAAGACAAGACCATCCACATGAATAGTTGTAGTAAAGTCTTCATTATTTTTATTTTTGTTGTTGCTCAGTTCAGTTGTCTGCAGATGCACTCAAAATAATTTTTGCTTGGATGACAGCAAATGCTTTCTCTCATAAGGAACTCATTCTTCTCAAAAGAAATACATTCCATTTGAAGATACTATTCCAGAGAGTTAAACAGAATGTGTGCCCAGTAAGTGTAGATATGATTGGTGCTTTATTGTTCTGCTCTTAAGAGCACACAGTGTGGATTTATACATGGCAAACAGGTAATAGCATTTAGAAGAGGATACCAGTATGTCCACTCATGGAAATTTGATGAAAAATTGTTCAAGAGGAACCACAGGTCATAGGTAGAGCTATATGCTTTCCATATCAAAGGTCCCATGTTCATTTGCAATCATGTTCAGCTGAAAATTTAATGCATATAGTTATTTATTTTATTTATTTAAAACATTTCTATGCTGCCCCCATCGCAACAAAGCCTCGGGGTGGCTCACAACAAAAACAAACAAAAGCATATAAAATTATACAATAAAAACATTAAAACCCGGTGCATCTCTGCTTAAAATAAAAAAAAAAACCTACATAATAACAATTAAAATAAGTTTTAAATAAAAAGGTCTTAGCCTGGCGCCGAAAAACAAATAACGACAGCACCAGACGGACCTCTCTGGGGAGCACATTCCATAGGTGGGGCGCTACCGCAGAGAAGGCCCTCCTCCGGGTACTCACCCTCCTAATATTCACAGAGGGTTCCCGGAGAAGGGCATCTGTTGCTGAGGGGCGGGAGGGCATATATGGATGCAAGCGTTCCTTTAGATACCCAGGGCCCAAGCTGTTGAGGGCTTTATAGGTCATAACCAACACCTTGAATTGGGCCCAGACTTCAATCGGGAGCCAGTGGAGCTGACGGAGAACTGGGGTTCTCCGTCAGTTAACTGCATTATGAAAGCTCAGAGAGCTTTTCAAAGTTCAAATGAACAGTTTGAAAGTCACTAATTTATAGTCAGCAGGTGGCACTGTTATACATGTATTTTGGAACTTTTTCCTTAAACTCAGAAAATTATTGTGGCTTTCCCTTCAGTTACTTCTTAACACTGTACACGTAAATGCCTATCCAGTTTTAACTAAGGAAGTAGCATTCACATGTTGAAGGTTAGGATCCAAAGCAGATGTTTAAACTTGGAGTAAATTCGGGATTGAACTATTAATGCCTGCTGTTTCAGGGTTGATTACTTCTAGGTATGCCTGCCTGGGTTTACACCATCACACTCAGATGGCTGTCCAGTTTTTTATTGTCTCTGGTACAATGACTAGCTGGAGCTCTCCAGTGTTTGGACAGCATTCTTTACCAGCCCTACCAGGGAGATGGTAGGGACTGAACCAACAGATTTTGTATGCAAAGCACGTGTTCTTTCCCCAAGCTATAACCGCACTTCAGTGCAACCAATATTAATGCTATTGTATTTGGATTCAATGAGTTAAAAAAGACATTTTCTTGAAAGAAAGCTCCCATAGATTTCGGTTTTTAAGGGCACAATCCTACACACATTCAGACAAACAACAACAACAACCCTACAGCTCCCAGCAGTCCTCATCCTGCCATGTCTGGCTGGAAAATGAGGCGAATTTTATGTTTTTTGTTTTGACTAAAGCATACATAGGATTGAGCCTTATATAAGCACTTGTCTATTGCGAACAGACACGTCTGAGCCATTTTAGGGCTGTATCATCTCCCCTCCAAGCGAATGGCACGATAACTAACGCTTTTTCGTCATCCTCGCAGCAGCAGTTCCTGCCACACTACAGCGACCTCAGGAAAGGATAAACCGCAGCTCTTCGCGCATGCGCTGGAATGTCGTTCACTTGTTATTTTTTCTGGACGCGTCGCCTCCAATCAGGGCGAGGGTTGCGTTGCCAGGCGACCGTTCCTAAGATGCTGCGTGCGGGGGGGGGAGTTTGTGTCTCCTTGGAGACAGGAACGCTCCGTGCTGGATGCCGCTTTGGTCGAAGGCTGCATGAGTGTCCAGAGGGACGACGAGGTCGGAGGATGCGGAGGGGAGATGGAAGTCGCCGCCACCTCCTGGGATGTAGCCGGAGTGCGCATTACGCCGCCCGAGCTGCGCTTTGTGGACGCGGTGCCCGGAGGATGCTACCGGACGCAGCTGAGTGTCCAGAACCTGCGGTCCCACAGCTGTGTCCTGCACTTAGCGCCTCCGGAGCAGCCTCAGGTGGGACGGGCGCAGCGTGTGTGCGGGAGGGCAGAGCCAGTGGGGCAGAGGGGTGATGCACTCGGTGCCCCACAGATACATCAGTCAGAGCTCTCATCTTTAATCACCGGCCATAGTTGTTGGGAATTTCAGTGCGACGTATCTGCCAGCCAGCAGGTTGGGAAGGTCGCAACGCACTTTGTAAAAGCATAAAATTAAGTCTTAAGCAGGGTGTGTTCCCCAAGCAGTCCCCTCACCCTTTCCTTTACTGCTTCGGTTATTGTCAAAACAAACAAGACCGAAGTGCATGAAGATGTAAATCTGCAACATTTTTAAAAGAACAATTTTATTTACCACTGGCAAGTTGCTGAAGAGTAAACAAGCAAAGCTTATCACTTGTTCATGTTTATCAGATAGGCAATGACGTTGAAATAAAATGATTTAGGATGCAATCATTTGCATGATTAGGGAAAATAGAATCCTACAACTTCCAGCATTCATCAACTAGATTTTAAAAAATCTAAATATGTGAAGGACTGTATCCTTAGTTTGTTGAATTGAAAACAGAATGATTTTTCATTGTTTTACAGTTCAGTCTAATTGTGGAAAATTCAAAAAAGCCCCTTGCTTCTGGGCTTCGCTTAACAGCCACTGTGGAGTATCACCCTGACACTGAAAAAGATCTTCAGGATAGGCTACTTCTTCACATAGGAAAAAAGATAATTGAGATTCCTCTAATAGGGTATGACATTTCAACATACAGTTCTACAAATTAACTTTTGATTACTTCTTTTGATAATAACACAGCTTTAAAAAAATAAAGTACTGGCTTATAGACATGATTCTTGGCGTGCAACTAAGAGCATTTCACAATGTTATGATTTAAAGCAGAGGTGTCCAACCTGCAGCTCAGGATGGCTATGAATGGGGCCCAACACAAGATCATAAACTTACTTAAAACACTGAGATTTGTTTTTGTTTTTTTGTAACTCACTTGTGTGGTTGTCAAGCGTGAACTTTGTAGAAAACAACATTGCGTCGCAATGTCACATAAAGTAAACATATGTATGCTCTCTTAGAATGATTATGTGAGGATTTTTTTGCTTATCTGTAGTGGTGGATATGATGAAAATTATGCACAGACCATTTTTTTCTCACCAATTTTTGTTAGTGTTTATGTATTTAATGTGGCCCAAGACAATTCTGTCAATGTGGTCCAGAGAAGCAAAAAGGTTGGGCACCCCTGATTTAAAATAATGTGAACTTTCTCCCACATCATGTACCTTAGAATTGTTTTATGAGGAGTCAAACTGCATACTCTGGTAATTGCTTTTTAAAAATATTTTCCATTTTGTTAGTTCCACAGTGAAATATGTAAAGGTAGCATATGAATGCATATCTAGGACACAGTTTATGATACTCTGTTCTTAGATCGTCATTTTATTTAGTTCATTGTCCCAAAAAGATTCAACAGTAAGGAATATTGCTGTATATAGTACCTGTATATTCACACACATCCCTTTTGATTTTTTTCACATTTTGTTTTGTTATAACCTGGAATTGTAATGGATTAAAATTGGGATGGTCACCACTTGATGTACACAAGATACTTAGCACTGTGAAGGAACAAATTATTTTTCTAGCAGCACAACATTTAGTAAACATAAACAAACAAGAATTTCTTGGTTGCATAAATATTCACCTCCTTTGCTGTGACATGCCTAAATAAACTGGTGTAACCCACTGCCCCCAGAAGTCAGCTTAAGTAGTTGAATGGAGTCCACCTGTGTGCTGTTGATATCATATGATCTCAGATTAAATACACCTGTATCTAGAAGGTCACAGAGTTTGTTGGGGAGTATATCTGAACAAACAGCAACACGAAGACCAAGTAGCTATTGAAAGAACTCTGGCATGAAGCTGAGTATAACCAGCAATCAGGACTGATATATTCCTGAACATCCCAAAGAGCTAGAATGGTTGAAAAACAAATGGGTCAATGCCTTTGGAATGGCCCAGTCAAAGTCCAGACCATACTCTAAGTGAGTCAGTGGCAAGACTTGAAAGTTGCTGTTCACCAGTGGTCTCTGTTCAGTGGCCACAGCTAGAACAGTTTTGCAAATGGAACCAGATGCACAAATTAATAGATATTTACCCAAGAAGGCTCACAGCTGTAATTGCTGCCAAAGGTGCTTATCCCAAGTAATGACTTGGAGATAATGATAGTGGTGACACCTAACACTGTACGTAACACTTTTGTCTAATTTTTAATATCTTGTACTCAGTGCCTCTTATAAGAAATATTGTAAGTTCACATTATATCAGGGGTCTCAAACTCGTGGCCCGCAGGCCAATTGCCGGGACAGGCGGGGCATGGGGGAGGGGCCCTGCGGCCTTCAAAGCGCCGGTGGTGCGCAGGCCGGCCTCCGGGAGCGACACAGGATGAGCGGCCCACCACCACCGCTTGATGTGGCCCAGCCTCACCCAGACTCTACTTCCAGCGGCCCCCAGGTAAGTTGAGTTTGAGACCCCTGCATTATATTGAGTGTGTATAAGAGTATCCAGCTGAGATACCCATAAGCAGTCTGCACCTTGCTGTTCCTTCCATTTGGTCCTTTTGATAGGTGGCCATTTCATCCATCTAGCAGGGGTGCTTTGAAGTGGGAGGGAAGGTGACTTGGGTAGCTTCAGGATACTTCATGTCTTGGCTGTTCTCTTGGGACTGAAGTTCATTAACTGAATGATTCTGTGGCACTCAGATAATGTCTAGGAGCTGCAGGATCATTCCCTAAAAATTGTTAGTCAATTGCAGCTCACTCATTGTATATTGAATTGTGTTGAATATTTTTGTTTTAAGCACCTAGTAGACAGATCTTCAAAAATAACTTTTTTAGACCTATCAAAGAATTTTAAACTAATTAAAACCATAGTTGTAATTATCATGAGTAAATCAAAGTGATTACATTGTAATTATGGTAGGTAAGAAAACACAAGGCTATTTTAATATATTTATCTGTAGCTATTGTTGCCAAATTAGATTATATAATTAAATGTTTGTTGAAATTGAGAGGAAAACAGTTTTTTCTATTAAAAGCATTTATTAAAAACAAAACTAATAAAGCAATAAAACTACTTTTTGCAGATTAATCCCCTGCTGTTGCCTTGAAATTGAACCTGAGATAAATTTTGGCACAGTAATTGCAAACAGTAAAGTAATAAACAAGGAGATAAGAATTACTAACTATGGATCATCTACAGGTAATATTTTCTATGGAGTTGATTATACCAAGTTCATTTCTGTTAATATAATCATCTGGTTCAGGCAATCAGCTCCTGGTTTATAATGCCAGGGTATACCTAAGCTCTGCTTCATTCCTTTCTTTGGGTAAAGGAGCAGAGAAGTCAGGAAGTCATAGCTGCTTTCCAAATCCTGTTTTGTTTGGAAGCCATTAACCATAGTTCTCAGTCATGCACAATGGGAAATGATGGTTAATGGTAGCTCCTTGGCTTGTTTCACTTCTCATGTGAAGGGTGGAATGATGCATCAACAGCGGGCTTGCTTTTAGGTACACATACTATTTGATCATCTGAACACAGTCAGAATATATAGTTTTCATAATAACTGAATATCCTGAAATGAAACTTGCCAGCTGCCTGGAAATATACCAACCTGCCTAGTTTCAGACATTGTTTATTTATTATTTAATTTTATTTAAAACATTTTCTATCCTGTCTTTATCTGAAAAGGATCTCAAGATGGCTGGAAAACCATAAGTGTACATTTTAATATATTGGATTGTATGTTACAATAAAAATTCCATTATATGATACAACAATCACCCCTTAAAAGACTAGGTAAATAATAAGATTTTGGCCTGGCACCAAAATGAATAAAGCGTTGGCACCAGGCACACCTCTCTGGAGAGCAGGTTCCATAGCTGGGGTGCTACCACAGAGAAGGCCCTTCTTTAGGTAGCTGCTCTTCTAACCTCCTTCAGAGAGGGCTCCTGAAGAGGGATCTTGGTGGAAGATCTTAGAGTTCTGGCAGGTGTATATGGAAGGAAATGTTCCTTCAAATATCCAGGCCCTAAACCATTTAGGACTTTATATGAAAAAGTTAGTACTTTATTCCATTACTAGGAAAGGAAAGCAAAAATATTTTTTCTTAGCCTTTTAAAATTCCTTACCTTTCCAAAAAGGTAATGTTACTCAGTATGCATGCACCTTATTGAACAGAAGTTTCCATAGCAGCTAGGTATTCATACACCACTGTGCAAAATTCAAATTGCTGCTTCCATGAGGCTGGTGTCTCTGGACTTGGATTGCCCTGTTGTTCTTTGATTTGAAGGCTGTGGCTAAGTTGGCTAACCTTTGTGGGAGATGTACTTTCCATGAGTTTGTTTTGTCATCTGTGGATTTAGTGTTTTCTCCACTCTTACTGTTTTTCATCTGCAAAATGGTAGCCATTTTCTTGATATATGCAATTCCTTCAGAAAATACTGTACGAATGGTTATGTGTGACTTGGTTATTTATTTATGCATTTTTAGGACAAAGCCCTCACATGACAGCTTACATAATGGTTGTACACATAAAATACATGAAACAGATTACAATAATGTGTGGTTCTTGCTTTGTGTTTATGACATATTTGGAGTCTAGGTTGTTTTAAGTTTATTACCTGTGTTGGTCTGGGGTCATATGGATGTCCTGCTTGGTGCTAGAAGCCTTGCAAGCTCATGAGCCTGCCTGGGCACCAGAAATTTTTTTATTTCAAGGCTCACTTTAAATTCTTTGCGCATGTGTGTAGACAGATATCCCATAATATGCACATATAAAATATGTACATATTTTCATATATTTATATGTATGCACATACTTCTGGTAGTTCTAAGTCTGGTTTATGTAATAAATTCAGTTGTTCTATATTTGAAATGGCATCTTCCCAGGGAAGAGTTCTATTTCCCTTGTATTAGTCATTGTCACATATGTAATAGTAAATATCCATCACTGTGAGAAGATAGATGGGGAGCAGGACCTGGGAATGGCAGTGATAGTTGGAGAAGTGCTACGCATCTTTATTTTTTTATTGTGCTGTCTGTGACATCCAAATTGCTGTAGGCCAGGCTACACTGGGTTGGAGTGAGTGAAAGTTTTGAACCTGTCAGTTAATGTTATATATGATGCATAACAAGTTTATATTTTTGTAGGTACATTTGATATAAAATATAGAGGAACTGTTGCCATTGTTATAGCTCCAACCAGTGGGGTGGTAGAACCTCACTCAGCACAGTCTGTTAAAATAGAGATTTGTACTGATGTTCCCAGAATAATGAATGAACCAGCCATGTAAGTTAGCTTAAGCTGATATCTTCTCTGTATTACTTTTTGGTTTTACTCTCATGATATAAAATATCTAGTTATAAGTGTGTGTTTTATAGTTTACAGTGCTCTAAAATCTCACTATACTCAGATACTACATCAATCAAATATATGGAAATATTGTCAATCCCGTTTGAATATGCCCCAGTTGCAATCTACGGAAGAAGAACAAGCTGTATGGGAGAACAGAATGTTTTCTTGTCTACAGCTCAATTGACTACCCAAATTTGGAGTCAATGGCTCTGCTTAAACAACTCTGTTGGCCACAGTCAGTCAGGAGTTACAGTATCAGATGATTTTCATTCATCTTGTGGTATACAGTGGCGAAGCCAGGACGTCTCCAATTATATTATATTGTTATTATTTATTGTTGTAAGCCACCCCAAGGCTTCGGAGAATGCGGCAGCATAGAAGCTTTCTAAATAAATAAATAAAATAAAATAAAGCACCAACTTTTTGTAGAAACTTTTGGAGTTAAGTGGGCGACTTATTACAAATCGTATATAAGAAATAAATAGATTCATAACTTTTCCTTCTGCCCAGAATCTTACGTGGCATGGGGCTACTATATACTCTGGCAGGAAGCCAGATTAATGATATTAATATGGTTAATATGTTGTGGACATAGCCATGGTCTTTCACTGATGTATGTCCTATAGTTATCTCTGTATAATCTTTGTTGTGGGAAGTTAGGAACAGGCAACTTCCCTAAGTTTCACCTATGAATATGTGCTTTACTTAAATGCTCTGATAAAATACTGAGTTCTATAAGATTAATGCACTTATCATGTATCATGCATCTTACCTGTGTACATTTCTCTCTCTGTTCCTTCTTATCTATCGCTCTTACCCAAAGTGTGGAATTGCAGGGGCGGACCAGTGCTGAGATAATGATCAAAGCTAATATAGTGGAGCAAATTCTTGAGGTTTTAGCTGTGTCTCATTCGGACACAATACACTGTGTTAATTTTGGATGTGTCTATTTTGGGACATCAAAGACTGAAGATGTCATTCTTCATAATAAAAGTCCAGAGTCTATGGACTGGGTGGCAGTTCTGCAGGATAATGCTGTTGGCATTGAGATGGTAAGGAAATCTGTCTTGAATGTAGTCATGCTTTCCACAAAGTGTCTTGTTTTCCTTCTTCCCATGTAGCATAATTGGAAGCTAGTCCATGAAAAAAGGAATGTTTAGGTACTTTTCAAAAATATGTACCGTGTTGCTAGCTATATGTATAAGTGCTAGCTCCTAACAGTTTCACAGTCTTGTACGAGCAAGGAACAGAAACTGCATGATAGATCTGGGATTGCTTGCAATGTGAAACACAGGTTATAGTGGAGGGTTGCAATAGGCTCCGTGCTCCAGAGACTGAGGGTCATGGGGTAGATATAGCCCTCATCTCAGTGGTGCCTATGCCTGTTTGTTCACCGCCAGTATCACCTCTCTATTATCCTGCAAATAAGTGAATGGCTGTTATGCAATCTTGTAGGACAAAATAAAACTTTTCACTTGGGTACAACATTATTGCAAAACCGAATCCCACTCATCCTTATGACAGAAATGCCAACAAGGGCTCCATGGGAGAGCTACCATGCAACTCTGCACACTCTTTTTCAGTGTTATGCTGTACACAGTTATGAGAGCATTGTACTAAACAGTATAGAAATGTTTTAAATAATAAATAAACTCTACACAGGGCACACATTACAACTGCCCTGGGGTCAATGCAATATGTGGGCCTTCTGCCCATATATATCCCGCTTGCTGTAGCAATGGACATATGCTGGTCAGATGATGTTTCCTCCAATGTTGAATTGCATTTACTCAGCCAGTTTTTCAGCAGTGAACTCTAGTTTATCCCTTGTTTACTGTTTTTATATGGAACATTACTCTTATTCATTATGTGTTTACTTTTTGTGTTTTTGTTCATGTGAAAGATGGAAAACTGTGACTCTGAGTATATTTTAAATCTTACATTTTCTTATAGGGTACAGATATTCAGAAGAGTTCAGATGCTGTTTTAAAAGACTTGGATTATTCCAATGGAAAACCAGGAGTAGATGTTTCCACACTGATTGCCTGCATTCCTAATGAAGGAACACTACAGCCTTATCAGAAAATTATGGTTACCCTTTGCTTTAGTCCAAAGTAAGTATGCAGTGTGAAGTAAAGAACAAGAACTATGAGAAATTATCAAATATTATGTACATTCCCAAGGAAATTGGGCCAGCATGCACAGCCCAACCATCTGCAATGTATTCATGGTACATGTGGCCATTGTTTGGTGTATCCAGTCTCTGACTGGGGAATTGTCATGTTGTCTGAATGTCATGAAGATGGGTTATGTCAAAGTTAACTGTTGCATAAACTCATGGGGTTTGCACAAATCCCAAGATGGTAGTGCTGGTGGTGGTGATGTCAAGTGATGCACTTTCATTGTAGGGTCATTAGCAGCTTCATATTTTCTGTACAAATAACTGTAAAATGACTCCTGAAAGTAACTTCTTTTACAACTTGTTTGGCTAACTGGTCTTGCAATTATAGGCAATGATTCTGTTTCAGGCAATATGGAACATTCATCTTCTAATCATAGTGGGGGAAAGGAAAGAAAGCATCCTGCCTGTATGCAAATTAATGTTGCTTTCAGTTTCTGGCTGAGGCTAGAACTTTCTATTGGATGAAGGTATTCCATAGGAATATGGCTGACAGAAAAATGTCTTTCCAGGCTATCCAGGGTTGTTGATAGCAGGGGCTATGATTAGCTGGGGACATCTCAGTTATGAATACAAAAAGGAGTGGCACTTCTCTGTATATTTAAGAACATGTGTTCAATTATATTCCTAAATGTACACAAGTTTTGTTTTATGCTGCTGTTTCGTGCTTTTAAAATATTTGTATCCATATGTGTTTGTTTGCTGTTTTGAGAGGGCACCTGCCCTAAAAGGCAGTCAATAAATATTTAAAATAAATAATTAAGTATTTGACTAATAAATTGGGAACAGATACTGGCAAGTCAAGAAAGACCAGAAGTGTTTATTACTCTGCACAGTGAATGAGGTAATGTCCAATAGAAACAATTGCACATAGTCACATAATTCAGGACAATGTTGATGCATTTTCCAGTTTTGGATTGGTTATATTTACATTCTTGGATTCCTCCAAATTATGGTGTTTATTCTAAATTTTCAGTAATATTTGTTAGATATTAAATTGAGGTATTTTTCTCAAGGAATATAAATTTAATTGTGACTTTTGCAGGCAGCTCAAAAGGGACAGGAGTCTTGAAAGAACTCCATCAAGACAAGATTATGTTCTCTTCCTCAAATTTGAGGCCATAGGAAGTAAAAACGACTTCTTGCAAAACATGACTGGTGATGATATACCTACCAATGGTACAGTATTGTAAAGATGAAATAATGTAAAGAAACAGAACTGCAGTTCCGCCTCTGTATTTGTTTCCTGAAATAATATATGCTCTTGTATATGCTATATAGAAATCTTGTGTACATATGTGTGTATGCACCACATACGCAAGTTCCACAGAACTGCCCCATTCAAAAAGACAAGCATTTCCACTTGTTTCCAGCTGTTCTTGGAACTTCCTTCCATCTCTTTCTCTCTGTGTGTAAATGTACACGTATTCAAATGGTCAATATTCAATCCATATAAAATAGGCAATGTTCAGTCTCCTCTCATATTAGCAGGACCCACCACTCATATAATGGGAAACTAGCTGTTTCAAGTACTGCTGGAAACAAGTGTAACTTGTTATGTTTGTATCATGCCATTTTTCCTGCAAAGAACTAGAAGCAGCTTCCATAGTTCTCCTCCTCAACATTTTATCCTCACAAAACTCTGATATACATTTATATGTGAATCTACAAACTTTGAAAGGAATAATTTACATCAGTCCTCAATTAAGTGGGAAATGAGGGAGCATTATGTAAAGACTAGTTTTTATTTTGTGTAACCTAAATTGGTGATAATATTGTTTCTCTTCTTTCTGCAAATAACAACATACCTGTTTCTCTCAGTTGCTGTTACAGAGAATAATCCCCATGAGGTTGAGCTGGGTTTGACAGGCTCAGGACTTCCAGTCATGTTGACATTTAACCCAGGACCAGTTGTCAATTTTCAGGAGTGTTTCATGGGTGAACATACAGATATTATTTGCTCACTCAAAAATCAGTGTGATATTCTTCCAGTGTCATATGTTTTCCGTAAGATTGCGCATTATAATATTTCTCCTGAAAAAGGAAACATAAAAGCTAAATGTACACAGGTACTGCATATTTTTCTTTCATACTGTTTGTTTGCTTGCTTAACTTTCAAAGAACTTCAAGCTATGATGCTTCAGGCTATAGTACAATACCATACATTTAACACAAACATGACAAATTTAAAGACATATTGCTAAAAAAAAGTTGGCATAAATCAGTGTTGTCATATGATATGAAAACATATGAAGAGCCAGGCTGGATCGGGGTCATGGTCTATCTAGTGCAACACTCCATTCAGACAGTGGCAGACCAGCTGCCCACAGCTTTCCTACAGGGTTCAGTTCAGAAGCTCCTCTGCCACCTTTTTTATGTTGTATGCCAGCACTCTGGTTCCATTATGGTTCAAGTGGAGCTCATCTCTCCTATACAGGTCCAGCTTGCCCTAAATGTTTCCCAGTGCCTAACAAATCTGAACCTTTTCCCTCTGCACCACTGTCTCATTCATTCATTGAGAATCCTCAGTTGAACCTGTCTACCTGCCCCTGTACATGGAACAGGTAGCATTTCAGAGAAAGCCACCGTGGTGGTCCTGGATTTCAACTTCCTACTTAGCAACCTTCCAGCATCTCACAACTGCAGTGCTTCACTTCTTTCTTTCTTTGCAATTTTTTATATACTGTCCTTCATTGAAAATTCCCAAGATGATTTAATTTTTTTAAAAAAAGCAATATAATCAACAATACTACAATTAAAATTCCTTAGTGCCAATACTTGATATAAAAATTAAATCACCAATTAATTTAAAAACTGGGTAAATAAAAATGTTTTGGCCTGGCACTGGAAAGAATAAAGCATCAGTGCTAGGTGCACCTATCTGGGGAGTAAGTTCCATAATTGGGTCACTATAACAGAAAAGGCTCTCCTCGTACTATCCCTCCTCACGTCTTTCAAGGACGGCTCTTGGAGGACAACTTCTGGAGATGATCTTAAGGTCCATGCAGTCTCATATGGAAGGAGATGTTCCCTTAGATAACCAGACCCTAAACTGTGTAAGGATTTATGTCTCATCATTAGTACCTTAAATCAGGCCTGGCCTTCAATTGGTAGCCAGTGTAGCTGATATAGGACCAGCTTAACATGTTTCCATCTGCAGGTTCCAGTCAGCAATCTGGCAGCAATACTTTAAACCAATTGCAATGTCTAGCCCCACATAAAGCACATTACAATTGTCCAAATGGAAGGTTACCAGTGTGTGCTTTTCTATTGTTAGGATTTGCCTGTCCAGGTAAGGGCACAGCTAATGGGCCAGCCTTGGGTGAAGGAAAGTACCCCTTGCCACAGATGCCACCTGCGATTCCAGGGATTGCTCATTGTCAAGGAGTACTCCCAAACTGCTTACCCTGTCCTTTAGGGGGAGTTCAACCCCATCCAAGACAGGGCGAATTTCACTCACCTGAGTAGTCCACCCATCCACCAGAAACACTTCCATCTTTTCTGGATTGAGCCTCAATTTATTGGCCCTCTTCCAGTCCATCACACTGTCCAGACATCTGTTTAGAGCATTCACTGCCTCCCTGGATTGGATGGGAACAAGAGAGAGGTAGAGCTGGGTGTCATTGGTGTACTGATCTTTAGGACAAACATGGACCATAACTACTGATTCCACCCCCATACTTTCTGCAAACTATTTAGATGGCATGTGATATTCACAGTCTTTGCACAAGGCAGGCAATTTACCATGAATTCTACACTTCCCATCTCAGACCCAGCTATCTCTGTGTCTAATGATCTAAGCTCCCACTCCCTTGGTGCAAGAGGTTAATTGCTCATTATCTATGGAATAGGTTCCTTCTAAGGGATCATTTGCCTCTTCCTCAGAATGATGCTGTCCTTCCCCGAGTCTCCCATTTTTCTTGATGGCAGAGGAGCTGCTGGAACTAGGGATGGTGAGGAATTCATTGGAGGGTGGGAATCTGTTAGATTCCCTGGCCTTGGCTCCCTGGGCTGTGGTCTGCTTTACAGCAGCCCAGAGTCTCAGTTCCTGACAAGTGTACCCGGTGTTTGTGGGGTGCTTGCTAGGAACGGAGCCCCATGTGCTGGTCAAGCAGTGTTGCTTTTCCATGTCACCGGCAGCAGCCTTCATGTTGCCACACCTGACACAGCAGAAGGTTGATGGTTGTTCAGACTTCATTCCATCAGTGTGTGCAGACTTCCTGCCAGCTCTGCGCACTTTGCAAGAACAGAAGTACTCAGATACTAGAGAGAGAGATTCCTCTAGAGTTTTCTGCAACCCTAGTTGGGGCCCTGAGTTTTTTGTCCTCAAGGGTCTCATCAGCCAACTTCATTGCTTCTCTTTGTTTCTGTAGGTCAGCAGTCTAGGCTTCAAGAGCAGAACCTGGTTCTCTGTAAGCCAGGAGCTTGTTACACTGAACACTTACCCATGACTTCTGTCCATTTGGCACATAGCCATGCATGTGACACTCAGTGCAATGCACTGGATGGCCCCAGCACCCCCTCCCCACCTTTATACCTTGATTAACTGGGTTTGGGTCACCTGAAACAAAAATTCTGAAAGTGTTTTTAAAGCAAGACATGTTTGTATGTTTCATGGTATGCAGTATACTTTATATCAAGATTACCACCATGCAAAGATCCCTGTGTCACTGATGCCTCCAAGTTGAATATGATGGAGGCAAACATTTTCTTTCTACTTCCCTCCATCCCCTTGTCATTATGAGATAGTTCACTCTACTGGCTCAGCTGTATGAAACTTTGTCTCTTTCTTTTCTTTTCTTTTCTACATTAAAGCAAAGCATAGAGCACATGCTTTACATACAAAAGGTCTCAGGTTCATCTTCCAGTTAGGAATGGGAAAAAGTTCTATCTCAATTCCTGGTCAGCTGCTACAAGTTAGCTGATAATCTGTATTGAGCCTGATTGACTAATGGTTTGCTCCTGTGTAAGGCAGCCTCCCATGACCCATGTGCAAAATCTCCTTCATCTTTTCCAGCATATGAAGCTGTGAAATCCATATTGTCAGGATCAGGGCCTGAGTGATCCTGCAAGTGCCTGCAGAACCAGGAGCAGCCTTGCAGGCTCTTGCAGGAAGCAACTGAAGAGCAATTATGCAGTGCAGCTGGAGGTCCTTCAGACCAGCATAAAAGGCTTTCTGGCACAGCTGCTCTTTGCTACAGCAATGCAAGTTATCTTGGTGACTCCCTGTACTTGAGGGCCTGCATCTTGGAGCCTTGTTGAGGCTCTGCTCCAGATTGTTCCTAACTGACCCTAGTCTGCTTGCCTTGCTCTAACTGAATGTCTCCTCTGGCTTGACCTTGGACTGGTAACTTGCACTTACTTCAGGTACCCAACTGGTTGTGCAGCCCCACTGTGCATAAGTGTCCTGGTCCTGGTGCTCTGCCTATCCCTGCCCCCACCCATGTCCTGGCCCTTACGTATATGAACCTTTTCTTTTGTGCTTAGTGGGAAAACCTTCTTTATACCCTTATCTAGGTAAAATACTGTAGTTGCATGTTGGCTATGTATTTTGCTATCTCTTCCTATAACTATATGTCTGAACTATTTTAGTACGCTCATTTTCTAGTGGATATTACTCTTCCTCATCTTATGTTGTGTCCTTTGCCAGGCTCCATATCACATTCTAAAGCTGTGCATTTCTGCAAGTATCTTCCTTTATTTTTATTTCCCAAATAATGTATTTGAGTTAAACACACTGTATGCTGCCTTTTAATGAAAGACAGGTGGCACTGTTCTGACCAGCTATAATCCTCTACTGGTTATCACTCATACCTTGCTGATATATATTTCCAAAACAATCTCTCTCTTCTAAGTCTTTTGCTAAGCTTACCTTTGTAGATTGTTTTTACTGAACAACTTAAGTGACAAATGCAGCTACTGCCATTTAATTTTCTGCTTTTTCATTCATAATGAGTGGCTTCTGTTGCTTCAGCCTGCTCCCACTTGTTTACACGTCTAATGTAAATTGTAAGAGATCATGTCTGTTCTATATTTTATGCAGCACTCTGTAGACTGAAGATGAGCAGAAAGATGTTCTACTACAGCCCTCAGTTAAAAACTTGAAAAACTGTTACTGTTTAAGATGTATAAAACACGAGTATAATCTGGGGATTTTACAGGGTGATGCTTTAAAGAAACAAAGCCAAACATAACACTTGAATACATCCCCCCAACCCTGTATGAGCCCTCTGTTCCCTTCCCTGAAATAATTTAATATGTGTTCTGTTTTTGCCTTTAGGATGTATTGTTTTCATTTGTTCCTCGTCACATGGGCACCTTTGCAGTAAAGCAGGTGGTAGATATCATTGGTCCAGTGGCAAAGAAAGATAGCTTATCAACTCTGAAGATGAAACCTTTCCATCAAATACAGTTAATTTTTTCTGGTCTGTGCAAATCTGTAACCAATAAAGTTGTGCTGAAAACCAATCCTGGTAAGAAAGGGCTAAGAATTTAATGACTTTGAATTATATTTCTATCAGTTCTTCTGAGGGAGAACTTGGACATCAGAAAAGAACTGATGTGATAGAGTTAGGACAGAGTTTAAATACTCTGACAACTTGTAGGCAACTATCCTCCTTTACCAGCTTGTGCTTAGGGATGGATGAGACTTTTCTGCTTACCTTGCAATTGAGAAGCCCCACAGCATCACAGTGAGTGGGCTTTGATGTTCATTTGAGCTGTTGAAAGTTCCCTGATTTCTTCCCACCAGGGCCCATTTGCCTGCCCACCAGTCCAATTTCTGCCAGGAGACAAAACTGACCTTAGAAGCAAGGGCAAGTTAGTAGGCAGTGACTCTCCTGGTGCCAGTGGATCCATTTCCCCAGACATTCCCAGTATCATCATGCTGCTAGTGCTACTTTCCACTTGATACTTTGGGGGTTAAGCTGCATCTCCCAAGGTCCCCATCCAGTGTAACTTTTCTGCTGGGGTACATGCAGTTCAACTTGCGTGATTTCAGAGGGTAAGAGATTAGCAGCACACTAATGATACTACTATTGTGTCTTGTTTTTGAAGAATGAGCAGAGGAAATTCCCAAGGTGCTGCTTCTGTCTTTCAAGGGGCTGTTTCTTGCTAGCTTTCCTAGATGTGGACCAGGTTGTTGGGGGGTGTAAGCAGAATTGGGGCTGGCACTTCATTCAAGATGGGCTATACTATCAGGTTCTATTCTGCTCACATAAGCTGGGACATTCATCTATTCAAGTAGTTCTACTTGTAGTTTTATAAGATCAAGCATATTTTTCCTGTAAAGTGGGACTTGTCAGCTCTGTATCATAGTGTGGTGTCAGGGCCTTCAAAGCAACTATCACTGGGTAAGATATATTGTTTTTCTGGTTTCACTGACTTAACAATTTTTCGGTAGTATCTTTATGGAACTGAAAACAGCCAGGGTTAATAGAACATGCAGGCAATCCTTTTTTAAAATGCAAACTTCTGGCTGCAGTTCAAAGATTAATATGCATATTCCATATGGTGCTTCCACCTTTTTCTGAGCTTTTTAAAAGACTGTCTGCCTTGAAGCCCCAAATCGCTATGGGAAGGCCGGAGATCAAATAGTAGTTTTGCAATTAGGCGTTAAAGCTTTTTGGAGGAGGCAAGTGAGTGAGACATGCATGTTAATTTCCTATTAGAAAAAAAAAACTCGTATCTAATTATTACACCTTTCAGAGCTTGAATGTGTAGAGGCTTTTAAACAACAGTTTGTGCGTTTTGATTAATTTCTGAATAGATGGCAATAAATGAATACCCAGCCAATGCAAACCAAATGGATCTCTGTACTCAGTTTTGAAAAGGATTTAGATTAAAACTAGAGTTCCTGTGCTTTAACACATGTGCAGCCATGACTAAATTCTTTATCTCAGTATTCCCCTCTCCCCCCAAGAGATCAACAGTACTCCTGTTCATTAAACTTGCATGCTGGAAAGTTAATATTCAGACCTAAAAATGTAATGTTATATGGTAGGAGACATGTTCTGCAGTTCGTTCTCTCTCACAGAGAGAAACTACTTTTGGACATACTCAGTTTACAAGTAACAGTCAATCTCTCAGTTGTTTAACTGAGGAACTGGGGGGAAGGTATGAACAACTGAGTATGTTACCTCCTGCCTGCTCTCCTATTCCTCTTTCAGTGAAGGATCCTATTCCTGCGTTGTTTTGGACAAGTGGACCTGGGTGCTCTGACTTTTCAAAGGTTTAATAACAGATCTAACAAACAACAAATTATGTTTAACTTCTAAACAATCAAGAGTTTCTGGCTTCATGCATCATGAAACAGCCCAGGAAATACACATCTGTAGGTTGTTACTTGGAATCAGAAGTGGGTTCATGTGTGGGAATCAGCTGCTATGTGCTCATCTGATGTCACTAAAGCTGATCTCATTTTTCTACTTGGAGCAAGTTTTAAAATTTCCAGTGTTCTCCTTTTTGTGGAAGGAAGGGTGAGCTTCTTGCACAATGTATGGGTAGGTATGTGTATGAAACTAGTATAAAGTTATGAACCTTCATTTTTGAATGATAAAAGTATTCTAGCATAATATTTAATAGCATATTTGAAAAGATAAAGCATTTTTTCTGTTTTCAACAGCCATGTAATTTATTTTTTACTTAAATCCTAACAAAGGCTTAACACCACTGATTTCCAATGCAACGGGAGTATTTGTAGCTAACAAGGGGGACAAACACAGGGATATTGCACCAGTAGCACTTCTTAAATCGGAGCGGACACAAATTCATGCCCATCGGATTAATAGGAACGTGAGCAATGCAATTATAGCTCTTCCTAATGATCGTCCAGCTAGTATAAGACCTGCTGAATTGCATAAGGATTACAGGTACTAATGCAAGTGGTAATGATTTAAAAGAATAAATTGGATATCATGTTAAATATTTTATTTTCACAGAATATTTATATATTAAATCTGTATTCAACTGAAAAGGACTTTGCATGTATAAAGAAAATGTTTTTTTTTCCAAAGTGAATTGTAGCTACTTGGTGTAATGGTTGTCTTTACAAGGTCAAATGTGGTAACAACCAGTGGACTAATTGATGCATAAATAAAATATTTATATAGCAGAAGCAGTAATGTCTTCTGTATTGAGGGCATACTTAAATTATTCTTGTACTAATAAAGCTGCATCCCATTTTATATATCTAGGACTATTTTCACAAAAGTTGGCAGATACTGTTATGTGGATCCAGAATTTTCTTACACTACATATGAAGAACTGGAGAAACAGCTTAATAAGGATTATTATGCAGGGTATATCCGGAGCTTAAGACAGCATCGATTACATAAAAAAGCCTCTTGGTAAACAGTTTTTTAAATAAACTGCACAAATACTATAATGCTCAATTTTTTCAGCTACATGCCTCCATTCTTTTTCCTACTTTTTAAAAGAGCTATTCTAGTATGTCTAACATGTCCAAGACATTAAGAGTAATCCTGTTTGTGTATGAGTGCTTAGTGTCTGGTTAGTGTGATCTGAAGTATAGATAGTCCCCAGGTTACAAATGTCCAGGTTATAAAGAAGCCATACTTATGAATGCCTAGACTGCCACAAACCCATATGAATATCTCTAGTGAAAAGCTGTGAGTATCTCCAGGGAACTATGATGTGTTTGACAACACATCAGTGATTGCATAGAAAATAAACTCAGATTTTTAGGGTCTCTTCAATTTGCACTAGGGGAAATTTCTTCTGTTTTATTGGAAGTTCCTGGGTGACTACACAGCTACTTCCTGACAGTATTAAGAAGGAGGTAGGAAATCATTTTTTACCCATCACCCTGGGTAAAGTTTTCAAACATGAAATCCTGGCAGGCTTTAGATTCAGGGCTTAGTGTAGTTCTAAGTCACATTGTATGCACCTGGTTCACAGGTGACATAGCTAAGAAGATACTGTTAACTATGCACGTAATTCAGAAAATGTTAGTTCCACCCTCAGATGTTTCCACTGCTTAGGGACTGCTTAGTGGGTATGCAGGAAGCCACTCAATTTGTCAGCTCTTAACTTGGCATTGGAAAATTGGGTTTATTTTGTTAGATCCCTCACCTTCTGGCCCTAGCCATTCAAACAGATGCGGTCTGGTTCTCACCAGTCACTTGGCTTATCTTGGAACATGCTGGTGTTTTTTATCTAAGAATTTTAGCACCTCCTTTTCTCCAAGTTCAGTCTCAGAATCTGATGTAAGCATTTTGGAATTCTTTATTTTGATAGAAGCAGACCCAGGCCCTACATATGTAATTTGAAGGAATAGTGCTTTGAGTTTGTTCCATGACAGGGTTTATAATTTAAAATGAAACATGATGTCAAAATGTATTGCTTGTAAGGCTTTAGCAAGCCATTGACTTTTTAGAAATATTTTTCTCCTTATTAATTTAATCAAACCATCTACTCAACATTTTAGAATGTGTTTGCCACCCAGGGTGAATATCTTTTCATGCTACATATTCCCACTATTAGGATCTTTGAAATGCTTAATAATCCTGTGGATATTGGGTTAAAGCCAGCATCAGGACTGAAATCTCCAAGGCACAAGATTTTACTGCAAGAGGAATTGGAGGATGATGTTGCTGGTATAAGTGAAGACAGCCTGTTAACTAGCCAGCATCTGGCAGAAATGGAATCTAAATCCATAGCTAAAGAGGTAAGTTAAATATCCTTGAATATGGCCTAGCTTGCTTATAGCTGCTAAATATACAAGTTCTTGTATAGCTTACTACTGTCTGCTGTGTTAAGCACTAGCAGGCTTATCCTATGCATGTTTGCTGTAGCACCACTGAAATTAGTAGGATTTAGTTCCATAAAGGTAGAATTGCAACATCAGTGTTATCACATTAGCCTGCAGGTTCCTTTCCTTTAAGGACCTCTGCAGATGGATATATTATTTGGAAGCCAAGTGCTATCATTGCTGTTTTGTTGTCGGCTCCCAGTTACCCTTGAATAAGAAATGCTGAAAGCTATCTTATCTTACAGTTTCTGAATCCACAAATGTGTCCTTGTGGAAAATTCAGTTTCTGCCACCTGCCTAATACAGCTGCCATGTGGGGACTTGTTATTGAAAGAGACTGTCTGGCAAGGTCTATGCCATGAATGTTGACTAGGGAAACAGAGCTTTTCCACTCTCTTCTTTAAAAATGTTATAAAGAGTCTTTGCCAAATAACCACCTGCAAATTCACATGTCATGCAAGTGCATATTGCCTTCCTCAGCTTCCTGAAATGCTAATGAAACAGTATTTCACCTGGTGCTTTTCCATAGCTGTGTATAATTGCAACGATTATCTTCTACCAGAAATGCACTACTGTACTCTATACCAGGATTTATTTGGTGCCACAGTTCAAGTAACAGTAGGGGAACAAAAATGAAGAGGCAATATGTATGTGAAAGGGGTAAGGGACAGAATAATTAAGTGGAAGCAGATAGCAAAGATTGGGCTAATGGATAGTGAGCCAGACTGAATTTAAGGAGAAGATGAAGTTGCCTTCATTGATTAGTTATTTTTTTTATTATTGTACTGTATTGGGAAGGAGTACTGTAGAAGCACAAAGGCATGGGAGTTAATGGAAGAAGGCAGTCATGAGAGTCTGAATGGGGCATTTTCCCATCCAAGTCCTCGCAAGCAGTTTGGAAATTGAGCAGAGCCCTGCTGGTAGCTTGTTGCTTCAAAGCTATGAGGAGGGCCTGCTCAATGTGAACTTGCCTCAACAACCCTTTCACTTATCCCCCAAAGGCCTAATAATGACCAGCTTGCAGTGATAAGAAGGGCAGCTCTGGTGAGTCATGTTTATTTTGGCCATGGAGGAGGTCCATTGGCCCTTGATGGAACTTTTCTCCAGCACAAGTTGATATGACTAGAGCCATTTTCCTGTTGTATATGAAATCAAGGTTAGTTTTTACTGGATTGTGCTTTCTTCAGTAAAACTCCCTCCTACTTTGTTTTACTCTGGTTCTAGATTTGAGCATGTTTGTGTACAATGTTTATAGAGTGCCTAGCAGAAGTATTTTCCCTTTTACTTTTCTGTATTTTTGTTCTGGATTGTAACAGAACAAATTGATTTAATTGGCATTGTTACCTCTTGGTGTACAGAAGATACTCAACACTGTGATAGCACAAAATATTTCTCTGATGGCACCAAAGCTAAGTAACCCCCCTTCACATTTGTTGGTTGCATATGTACTTGCATCACTCCACTGAGTCAGTACTTTGCAGAAGTGCCTTTAGCAGCAAATATATCTCTGTCCTCTCTAGTAAATCTCTCTCCTATATCCTGGAGTGTGTGCCCAGTTTACCTGACAAGCCTGCCACTTATTTTGAAAGAGGACCATTAGCAAAGTCTTGCTCTTGATACCTAGTCAGACTGAGGTCTTGGCTTTGCAGCTGAGCTGTATTCTTTTCATTATTTAATACTGAATTGGAATGGTGCTCCATAATTGGGATTTTGTTTTAAATAACCCAGCCATGATTGGTGGTTCTGCACAACTTTATCCTGGAGCAGATTGCGGGCTCCATGGTATTCATGATGTTGTTTGTTTAGATATCCTCTAAATTTTCTGAGGTATTCCAGCTAGATCATGGGGCTCTGGAGTTCAACTCAAGTTGACTTCTGGAGGTAGTGAGTTAGGTGTTCCAAAACTTACTTAGGCATGTGACAACAGGGTAGTGAATCTTACGCAACCAACAAGTTCATTTTATTTATTTAACTTTTGTGCCACAATAAAAATATTTGCACCTTCCCAATGCTTGAGTATCTTGCATACATCAAGTAGTAACAATGCCAATTAAATGCATTTCAATTCCTGCCTTTTACACAACAAAATGAGGGAGAGTGAAAGTGGAGTGAATGCTTCTGCAAGGCACTGCATACTTTAATGAAAGACTATTTTTTTAGTACAAGTTTGTAGTTATTCTGTGTGCCACTTTTATAGATCAGTGATGGGTTTAATCCTGTACCATCTTCTCCACAAGAGACTGAAGATTGTAGTTTAATATTGACAGCAAAACAACTTCATCAGATATTGATCGGTAAGGTTCAGACTTGCTGGTTTTGCTTCTCCTCCTTAATGCATTTGATTTTGCTTGCATAAGAAGGCTCTATTAGTCTTAAAATAGAAAAAGCTGTAAGGTAAGGTTATTCTTGATATTAATAGATATAGCAATCCAAGCGGGTGGAGGTTTTTGTCAAGGATGATCAGACACTTCTAGGGCAGTTCGCTTTCTTTGCCTCTTTCAGTAGATTTATTGGCTTTCTAAAATTCCTGTCCCATTGAAAGCCATGGAAGGTAAAATGGGTACACTAACCCGAGGTATCAGGACAGAGGGAAAACTCTTGCTTGGGCATTGCTGTGCAGTGTGTTTGCTGACAAAGTGCACTGATCCAGAAAGGTTGCAAACTGCTTTATTTTTCACTTTGCTTTCTCTTGATAGCTTTTAAAAGGCAAGCTGTCAAGAGAAGCCAAAGCCATGAAATTCTACGTTCTTGGAAAAGTGGAAAGGTGGGAGCTACCCCCTTCTATAGGAGCATGGAGTTTAGGTATCAAAACTCCAGTTTCATTAAAAATAGTATTTTTGTCAGGGCTGTTCAGGGTTTTTTGACTGGGCTACATTTAAACATGTACATATCTATAGCCCTGTCAAAACCTCCCTTTTGAAAGGAATCAAGCAAGCTTAAGTCTGACTACAACAATAATAATAAAGAAATTTGTTCAAACATTCTTGCACATGTTCATTGTGCTTAAACCACATATTCTCAACCTTTTTAGCATGGAGGTACCCCTGAAATAATTTTCATATCTCAAGGAACCCCTGCATTAAAGTTATTGGAAGGCCCTTGCTTTTGGGTAAATAAAGAGTATAAATTGATCTTAGTGCTCTTTGCGACATGAAAATTTATTTACATTGTTGAATAATATGGCTACTGATAGAGCAATATGAACAAATTTTGGTTTAAGACAGTGCTATTTTTGAAACTAAAAGCATAAAATTTATAATGTGAAATCTGTGCTTGTCTTTTGCTGCACACATTTTTAATTTTGGGAAAGACTTACAGCATCAAGTTAGGGAAGGGTGATTTTATAGCATCTTCCAAAGTCTGTAAACCCCTCAGTTCAGTCCTCCTGTAAAAAATGAGAAAGGGGGGCAGTCACGGTGAATGCAAAAGGACTCACTTCTGTAAGCACAAAAGGATTGCAACAGGGAGCATGAAAAGGGCACTATTTGGGATATCCATTGGAGGAGACAAGTAGGGAGAACCCAAGAAGAGTCTGATCATCTCTCAGGCACTCTGTGTGTGGGTTCCCCCCCCCCGGCAAAAAACCCCCAACCCACTTCTTATAGCTTGCTGGCAGGGTGGGTTGTGATGTGTGAACTCACCATGTGAGACCGAAATAGGTGATGCCCCAAATGATTTATGGTGCCTTTTAAGCCAATTTGTCCTGAGAGGCTCGCCTGTGTAAGACCTTTTCCCTCTGCTTCAGAGTGCCCAGTCTGGGAGAAGAGATGGTGAAATTCCCACTTGGCTCTTAAGAAAGGTGACTCAAGTCTCCCAGACTACAGTGATGGTGAAATGTGGGGTGGGGGAGAAGGGAAGTACTTATGCTCTGAATCCGATTTCCATTCTGAAATGCCAGACTTATTGCACTTTAGCCAGCCTATATGAAGCCAAGGCCATCAGTTTTCATGCAAAGCCCCTTCTCTAAAATGGGTGATGGGCAAGCAATTGTATAGCATCAGGCAGCTTATTGTTACTTGATCCTCCCTCTCTAAAGTCAATTACTGCTGTAAATGTTGTGATTTACACTTGGATTTCCACTTTTTCACCTCAGCTATCTCCTTTCCATTGCTTCCAGGCCCCTCCACTATTGATTTTGGGGAGGTTTGTGCACATTCTGTATCTACCAGAAAAATGTATATTGTGAATAATCTTCCCATGCATGTCTGGATACAAGTAGAAATTGAAAGTGAAGAACTGCAACAGACCAGTCCTTTGTCTCAAGTCATTCCACCATTTACAAAGACTTATATTCCAATTGTGTTCGAGAATGACAAATTGGGAAACTTTCAAAAGTAAGGCTTCCTATTTGACTCTGTCTAGATGTCAGTGTAGTTGCTAGAAGAATGATAATTTAAGAAAAAATGCTCTGGGAGGGAGACTGAAGCCTCTTGTTAAAAAGCAGTAATAAAGAACACTGAAAATCAAGTCTATGTTTATGTCGCCTTGACCAAATGTCAAGGTGTTTTTAAAGGTAATTCAGGTTCCAAGAAAATCACTAGTGGATCAGTGGAGTTAAAACTTTATCAAGCACACTGACTATATACCTCTTCTATGTAGGTATAATCCAATACTTACACAGAAGATAAATAAGACCTGTTTAACATTATAGGATTATTCCTGACTAGGATTAAATTGTTAGTGAAACTGAAACTGATCACTAACAACTGCAGCAGTTTCAGCTGTTAATTATTTGTGGCAATACAATGGTGGAGTTTCATATGTGGTGTCTGTAGTAGGTGTCTGTGTACTTGTTTGAGCAATGTTGAAATTAAATGCTATGAAGCTTATATTGTTTCATGATTTAGTATATATTATATATTTGCAGCATGTTTGAAAATAGGATCAAACCAATATGTTTATGACTGTGTAGATGATACTGAAATGCAATGTATCATTTCTTTTTCTGTGTTACAGATCTTTCATGTACTCAGTAAACAAACATCACACTGGATATGTGTTAGTGGTAGCAAAAACGGTACCTGTTGCCTTGGAGCTGTCTACAAGGGAACTGACTTTAACTCCTGCCTTTAACTTCTTAGCAGAATATGGATTTAGAGCAACAGTGACCTTATACAATCGAAAAAATTACCCTGCAGAGTTCTCCTGGAAGCCTGTAATCAAAGAAGAAGCAATGGTGTTTTCCATATGCCCAGAGAAAGGTAAAGAATATTATGCGTAATAAATAATAACATTGTGCTGAAAAATTGTTTTAGGTAAGACTTATATTTTAGAGGGTTTGTAGAGATTAGGCCCCATAGGCCTCATAAACATAGCATTCTAAGTCTTAGTTTGACACTAACAGTTCCATAGTGGGGCGTTTTTGGTTTTTTTTTTGCAAATGTGACAAACTGACTTATAAGCATTTAAATGACTGATTAATTAATATTCAGTTATTCATAAAACTGATATTTCTGATTTTTAAAAGCCCTGTATTTCATTATTTGTCAGGACAATCAATTTTGGAACATTAAACAACATGGCACAGTGCTAGAACATTTACTTGCCAGAATGTCTTGTGTCTATAGATTATCAATAAAGAATTATCCAAAGGCTAATAATCAGCCTAATTTCATCTATCTTCATCTATCTACACCCCTTTTCAGATGTTTTGCAGCCTTTCAGTACCTCTTTGGAGCATTAACAAATTGGATAAGACAATTCAATATCAAATAATTCTCACATATTTTGCATTCCCAGACAGAACTTTATGGATATCCTTCATTCATTGCATTCCATCTCTCTTAATATGTTCAGTTAGTACCTTTTAAAGAGTAGGAAAGGTTAGAAGTATATGATGATCGATGAACTACCCAAATAAAGAGGTTTCTCTTTTCATTGACTGGAATATTTGTATAAAGTGATAGAGACACAGCAGCAACCTAGTATAGATGAGTTTTGTTGTTTTTTGTTTACTTGGTTGGGTTATTATTGCTACCACATAATGCAGGGAAAGAGGATGTAAGCATCTGCTTTTCAGCTGTGTTCTAGGTAAAGGTCACAGCGTTAGGAAAGACAAGGAGCCAACTGAGAGCTGTAAACTTAAATTGCTGCAAACAAAAATGCATTTGACAGAGGACACTGAAATATAGCAGATCAGTGTTGGGGCAATGTCTGATGAGAGCTCTATTTGTAATTAACGTGAAGAAGTTTGGCTTATAGATTAATCAAGTCAATCAACTAAATACTGCAGCCAAATTGCATCTTTTCACCTTTTGTACTGGAATTGGTTCTTATTTTTGTAGTCCAAACACTAATAACATTTCTTAACAAAATCTATTCACAAGATAGATTTGGAGAGGAGGATTTTAAGTTACATGATCTAATTCTTTTTGCCTTCCATAAGCTTTATGATTTAAGTAACTGCAATACCTTATTCCCTTTCTGTATTCTGTATTAATTTAGGTGTTGTAGAAGCATGTAAAGACCTAGAATGTGAAGTAGTTTGGCATCCAAGTTTCTCTTCTCCCACAACAGGAGAATTTGACTTGTGTGTTCATCAGGGAAAAACACTTAAACTTAAATGTTTTGCAAAGGTAATGGAATACTTTTCTACTTTGTAGCTAGTGTTTTTTTTTTCAGTTTGCCTTTGGAACATATGTCTCCTTATGATACTAATCTGGTTTAAAATGACAGCTTTCCTTTCCCTTTCCTGCAAAGGAAAAGAAACAAAAGGTACCATTGAATATAGAAATAAGTCAGTCTTTGGGTGCAGATTATCCTGTTTCAGTTATGTTTCAAGTCTATGGGAGAAGTGGAAAACAGTAGCTCTAGCAGCGTAGTGTAATGGGAGAGTCATGTCTGGTAATGTTAGTTCAAGACAAGCAAGACAGTTATACCTGGTAGGGGAAAGTCAGTTTAGGTCAGGTCAAGGCAGGCACACAGTGATTGTTTCATATGGGGCAGAAATGTTCAGGACCTTGGACAGATCCCTGTAAATTAAGCATGGCTCAGATATTCTCACACATGGATGTGGATCTATGCTTTGACTGTCCAGCCTAGTTTCACTGTTTTTTGTGTCCTTAAAGGTTTCATAGCCTTTAGCTTTTGCAAATTATAGTGACAGGGACTGCTCTAAAAGTGCATCTTCTGAATGTTAGTAGCATAGTAAAGCAGTGTCCTCCAGCTTGGAAGGACTCAGAACAGGGGATAGTAACTGCTCAATCTGTATTGTGCCCTGTGCAAGTGTTGAGCCAGGAAACATGCCACACACACACTAAGGCAATGCTGGCATTGGTAGAAACAGTGGATTGTCTCTTCAAAGGAAGCCATCTGGCATGGGAAATATGTAGAGCAGCCACTTGGTCCCTGCTTGTACCAGTCATTAAACATGTTTTCATCAGTGAAAGAAGCCTTTGGCATGTGTGTTCTACAAAGGGTTCTCTCCTTGAGCAGGCTGGTTCAAAACAGTAATGTAATTGACAGGTTAGAATTTCAATTTCTCCTGACCTTAGCAACCGAGTCAGGTTAGTAGACATCAGGGATCAAAATCTGCAGACAGCTGCTGATCTGCTGCCAAGAAGCAGAAGCCACCATCTCTTGGCCTTTTCCTCTGATCAGCTGTAGAGGAATTGAGTCCTCCTGGTACTTGGTAGAATTAGCCACCTGTCCTCATTTGTGTATGCCAAACCATTCTCTTATTCAGTCACATCTGCTTTGTAAAATGGACACTTGTACACTCCTTTCTCTTTTTGTTCTTTAGAATGACCCATAGAAATACTTCTGTGGTTTATAATAGTAAAATGGGAAACAGTTACCAGTGTGATCGTACATCTCCAGTTCAGAAATAACATGCCATTATTCCAGCTGCATGCTGAATTATTATTTAAATCCCATTGCTTCACTAAAGACCATAGAGACCATTTCCATCACCACCTTTGTTTTGTTCTTTCCAAACATTGGCTAGTAGATTTTCCAGTAGCCTGTTCATGCTCGCATCCTTGTCTGGTTTCTGTAAAGTGAAAAGAGAATGTATATTGATGGTAATGTCTTATTTTTTAATTGTTTTCAATATTAGCTTGGCTCCACTAGTGTTCAGTTTAAGGAACAAAGGATAACATTTAATCATGCTCCCCTGCGTTTAACTACCTGCAGGACAGCCATTCTTCAAAACATGGGGCATAACCATGCATATTTCCAGGTAAGATGTACGCAGGTTGAATAATGATGCAGATATTTCTGTGCAACCCTAGCCCAGATCTACCCCAATGCTGCTGTAGGAATGCTCAAAAAGCAGTGTCCAGGATCACCTAATGTATTATGAGAAAACAGGAAAACTGGCAGACAAATTTTACTGAGTTTTAAGCCTGCAAGTAGGATAATTGGCCTAATAATCATCTCATCAGAAGAGAGGCTATAGTAGCTGCAAATTCTGAAGGCATGAGAAAAATATGTTTTTATTCCTCCAAGTGGTCATTGGAAATTGGAGGGAATATGGACGAATATGTAATATTTTAATGCTTTTTATAGGTCTAAATCCAGTTTGCTATTTTAGGAACACAAAATGTTTTATTCATAACTTGCTTTGCTCTCATAAAACTATCATTACAAATAAAAACATGTGAAAGTAAATTAGTACATTTCTAAACATTGAATAAATTATACTTTTGCTATATTAGACATGGTAATTTTTTGAGCAAATGAAGTTATATATAATACATTTTAGATTCCTATTTTATGTCTGACCAGATGGCATTTCAGCAAGATTTCCCTGTAATATCTGAATCATTCTAGAAGCCGGAAGAAGCAGGAAGAGCTGGAGACAGAGGAAAACTGATGCACAGCCTCTGTTTCTATTTGTGGGGAATTGGTTTAAGGAAATGTGAAGGCAAAGCTAATAACTTATTTAGCTGGGAAAGTTTCCTTTACCTGTCAGGTACCAGTAGCCATTTAAGAACAGTTAAGGCTTAAAATTTAAGCAACCTCAATTTAGGGTGGAGTTTTCTAAACCCCCTACTAAACTTATTAATTATTGTTAATTCTGAAAGTTTATCTCTCGTATGCCCTGAATCGCAGGAACAAGGTTAATCAGTTTCTTTATATTTTGGTGGTGGCACCAAACATTTTTTATAGCAGAGGGAGTGTTCCTAATGAGATTTAATTGAGAATGTTATTAAAACTGCAACAGGGTGTTCAACAATTCTAAGCCTCATTTTTTTCTCCTAAACATAAGAAATGTAGATGGGGGCATGTAGTGGCAGTGACAGAATAAACTAGATCATTTTTGTGTGGGTTTTAGAACAATGTTCAGTGACTGAGACAACATCTGACCTGGAGAAACCCAAAAGCACAGACTTTTATAAAAGAAAATCTAAATTGTCAGGAGTACACATTTCCTTCGCATGTTTGATAGGGTAACTCTAGTCACATGTTGGGCAACAGCATACTTTGGAGGATCTAGAAATATCTCTTAGTAAACAATGCTTTAGATCAATACTTGTAATAAGAAGTGGAAGAAATAACTATGCTGGAAATCTTACAGAAAGAAGTAAAAACAAGCTAACCTTTTCTGCATGACTTCAAAGCTCTGCAAATCTTATATCTCTAGATGGGCAGAAAGGCCTTTATGTTATGTAGAAATAATTTTGAGAGGGCAATGGCTAGGTACCAATATATGAATACATTTTTGTAAACATTTGATTAATTTTGGCCATCCTATATAAACCAAGGAGTGTTAGTCAATAACTTTCAGTCTTAGAGAAGGGAGGACTGTTGCCTGTCTTCTCTAGAAAATTTCACTGTAATTTCCAGTTGACATAAATAAGTTCAGAATCCAGCTTTCAAATTCGCATTTTGGAGTCAGCCATTGCTGCCCACAGCAAAAATTAAATGAGTAGAATAAACCTGTTCCACAGTTAAGTGTGGCACACATACTTCATGCAAGAGATTTGCAAAAAAGGGATTATATGAGAAAGTAAAGCCTGCAGCTGATAGAATAAATGTTAGCTACAACATCTTACTTGAAGGAACTTGGTTTCTCCTCTTAGTAAGTTTATTCTTCAGAAAGGTGCCTTTATTACAGATTGATTGTCCCTAAATTCCCAAGTGATGTTGGTGGCTAGTGTGCCTTTTACCAACATTGACTGGTCCGCCAACTGTGAATAATGTAATCGTGACCTCAGATATACATGGAAGAGTTACATCCAGAGAGGACTATTGCAGTGCTTTCTACATAGATAGCTTTAAACACACTTTGGAGATGTTAAGTGGTACAAAATTTGGCACCAGAATACTTGTAGGAGCATGGTCATCAGAGCATATTACAGTAATTGTGTTGGTTGCAATTAATTTCTGTGATTAGTTTTTGAAGTAGTGGTTTTAACCTTAATTATAAGTGGTTTTAATTCTCATATAATGCCAGTCCTCTACCAGCTACACTGGCTCCCAATTGAAGTCCGGGCCCAATTCAAGGTGTTGGTACTAACCCATAAAATCCTAAAGGGCTTGGAACCAGGATATCTGAAGGAACGTCTCCTTCCCTACATGCCGTCATGCCCCTTAAGGTCAGCAGAGGAGGCCTTGCTCCAGGAACCCTCTTTGAAGGAGGTAAGGAGGGTATCCCTGCGGAGGAAGGCCTTCTCTGCGGTGGCACCCAGACTATGGAATGCGCTCCCCGGAGAGGTCCACCTGGCACCAAATCTTTACTCTTTCTGGTGCTAGGTAAAGACTATTTTATTTTACCATCATTTTAATAATTAATGATTTTAGATGTTTTAAGATCTGATCACAGTTGCATTTTCTTTTCCTTCTATTCTTTCTTTCCTCTTTTTAGTTTTTGAAAGTGTTATGCTGTGCTTATTACTTAATGTTTTAATTATCGTTTGATTGTGTTATATTGCTATTTTAACCTTTGTAAGCTGTCCTGAGGCATGTTTCACAATGGACAGGATAAAAATGTTTTTAGTAACAACAACTCAGTTGTAGGCCAAGTAGTCCTAGAATCTTAAGAAACCACCTTTGCCCTGATAATTTTGCCCAAGTGGTGTGCTTGGTATGAGACCTTGCTCTCTGGCCTATCTTTAGCAGATGTTTGATTGGCAGGTGCCAGGGATAAGGCTCCTGTAATGGTGACACTGCACTTGTGGAATGCTTTCTGGTAAGATCTAACAAAGTCCTTGTTTTTAGTGGGATGCTCAAAGCCCTTTTATTCCAGAAGGAATTTTATAACTGTTTCTATTTTAATTGGCTAATTCATGCTGTTTTTAATGCTATTGTGTTTTGTATGCAATATATTTTTAGCCTGTTTTATTGTTTACATTTTGTAAGGGACTTTGTCTATTTGTATTAAAGGCCCGTTATAAATTATTTAAGAGTGTGATCCTATGCATATTTAAACAGAAAAAGGCCTAGAATATTTGGCTGCAGAAGGTAACAGGATTTGTAGGAATTGTTTCTGTATAGACATGCAAAGGACTGTAACCTAAGTAAAGTAATAAATGAAAAATATGTCATAGAAATCAAAGCTGCAAAGTTAAACTGATATGCAAGTGAGAAAGGTCTTTTTAAGCTAATGGATACATTTTGGCCCTGGAAGCAAGCTATAGGCTTTGTTCTTTGCAGCTGAATTGCTGGAAAATAGGTTGTATAATTCTTGCTTTTACTGGCAGGTCCATGATGCCAATCCTCTTCCTGGAATGTTTATTACACCTTTTCAGGGTGTAGTACCTGTGGGAGGCCGCACAGAAATAAAAATCTACTTCAGACCGAATGCATTAATGAAATTTGATAGTAGAGTGGAGGTACTGAAATTTGAACTCCTGTCTAGAAATTTCTATTAGTCTTGAAAATATATTTATACTTTAATATGCTACTACTTTTTTTTGCAAATGTGAAAAGTTTGGCAGTGATTTGGTGAGCTTCTTTTATGTCATGATATATTCATAAATGTTGTATGCACTGAGGCAGTAAACCAGTCAAATAGTAGACTCTTTGGAACAATTCAGCTGTGAAGACAATGGAAAGATTTGTCTGCCTGGCAGAACCTTTCAAAATAGGGGCAGGAAGGAACATGGACATGAAAGGGAGTCTCAAAAATGTAAAGTTGTGTAGGAAGATCTGTCAAAAGACAGGGAGGTGACATTTCCATTTTATTACTTTTTTATACTCTCAAGGGCAGAGCTCTCAGGTGCTTTTCAAAGATTATAACCTTAACAGTCTAATTATACATGCAAATATGCAAACATGTAAACAGGGTCAAAGAAGCTTCTTGTATAGTAAGAGTAGCCCATGCATCTTGTTTGGGAACTGCAGGGGTGATTTTACGTGTTTAGTAATTATAGCAATATGAGACTGGAAGAAACATAGATGTTGCTGTCCACTCTGAAAAACAATCCCAAGCAAATCTCATACTACCAGCAGCTGGTGCAAACATCAATCATTGCAGCCTGTTGTCTCATGCAAATAATAGTTAATGCAAGAAGAGACAACTGCTTGCACACCTGAGCAGTCATTTCCTCTAGATAGCCTGTTTGCAGCAACATCTACAGTGATTTCAATGGCAATTGTTTGGGATTTGATTCATCATGGTTATACTTGTGTATGCTGTGTTGAATGGACACTCTATTTTTATTAGAAAATTTGTTTGTTACAATGTATGCAGTGGGGAATTGTTTTTGTGCCCTGTGAAAGTTGTATTTGTATTACTGAAAGTGATCTTGTGGCAAACATCCAGTCTTACTAAGTCAAGATAGCTGGATTTAGGTTGATCTAATTCCATTGGCTTGGAATAGTTTCTAGATTACACCATTTTGAAAACTGTTAAATATAATTTTAACTGTTCATGTATCTTTGTATACAGTGGTCCAGTTTAGGTGGACACTGTGCAGGGAATGTATATGTTTATTTTTAATATATACAACAGACAAGGAAATTCTACATTAGAAAAGGTTTTAGGAAAATACATAAATCTTTCTACTTCCTTCCATTAATTAGGTTGCTGTACGGAATGCAAAATCTCTGGAACTTAGGATTGGGGGATCTGTAGAAGTTCCTGACATAGATATTAGTGTGGTAAATATTTGACATACTTTATTATCCTCACTTTAGAATTATAAGGACTTATATTTAGATAAAATAAGTATATCCATTTTAGAATTACTTTTAGAATTATATACTAGATTTTGTATATCTCTTGTAATTGAGCTAAGGCATAAACCAGGAAAATATGAGCATTTTTCAAAGTTCTGTTATTTTCCATGGCAGCTATATAAGCATAGGCCTAAATATGTTTTGTCCTTGACTCAGTATCTTTGCATAAATACCATTATGAAGGTATTTAGAGGCTGAAAACAAATAGTGGTTTTACTGTGCGTTTATGTTAAAACATCATGCTACCTACAGAAATGGTATGTGTAGGGATGCTGGTGAATGTCTGAGACCTTGGTCTTGAAGAACATGGAGAACTCATAAAATCTGTCTCAGTGGAGAGGCAAGCTTTCAGAGTTTTCTTCAGCTCATATTAAAATCTCACCTAGAGAATAAATCAGGGGTTTTTCCTCTTTCAACCACCTAGCCATGAACCTCTGGCCAGAAAGTATTTTAGTATATCTCTTAACCTCAGAGCTCTCAAAGGCAAACAGAGATGCGAAAGACTTTCAATTCTAGGCATCCTTGCTGCATTCCCAAGAAAAATATTGGTTGCAGAGATCATGAATGTTGAGCTTTTTATCCTTACAAAGTAAGTTGGCTTTATTAGGTGCTACAAGGCTGTAAGAGGAAACGTGTGAAGGAAGGAGGAGCTATCCGCTATAGATGATCTCTAGAGCAACAGTTTTCCAGGGTGGGTGGGCTTCACCCTTGCATTAATTTTGAATCCATCTGCACTGGCTGTTTCTGAAGAGGAGGATAATTCAGTTGATAGAGCTGTCATCATATTTGTTCCCTGCAACCAGAGACCTCCCATTTTCTAAGATTTGCTGCACAGGCTGTGTCTGAGACTGAGTAGGTTGTTTGCAGCTGAGAGTGGCACATGCTTATCACCACATTAAATTCTTGGCTGCAATGGCCCCTAGTCCTTCAGTAATGCTTGTCAGAGTTTCCAAGATTGTGCTTCTTTTGCAACTGGTGTCTTGGTTAGGCTGGGTTCGGAGCTCACAGAGGAAGCAGTCTACAACAGTGGGACTTCTTAACAGGGCAGTGCGATGGCAGGGACATAAATGGTTCATTTGCCTCCTGGAAAATAAGGCAGACACATGTCAAGGCCAAGGCAGTATTGCCTGCCTTAGAGGAAGCAGAGAGAGTCAGGGTATTAGACACTGTGGTGAAGGTGTTCACACCCATGGAAGTGGAGACATTGCTCCAGCATGGTGTACAGGACTACCTGAAGCTGACCAGAATGGACAGTTGGCCCTGCCCTTAAAGAGCCATTGCCTTGTTTTACAGACTTTGGTTTCTATAGAATAGAATTGATAGGGGTTGTCCTGGGTGTGAGTCTTCTGAATTGGAGGATCTAGTAAAGCAATATCTTCTGGCCTAGAGTGGGGTTAGTGAATTTTCAAGAGGTGCTTCTTCGGCATCTGTGATCTACTGTGTCTTTGAGTGTGAGACAGGACCAGGGAACATGACAGCTGGCAATTGTGTATATACATATTGAAAACTGTCAGGGTATACAATCCCTGACTGCAAAAGCAAGCCAGCTTAGCCAGTATATGATAGATTATAAATCAGATAAGGAAGACTGTCTTTTAATTGTCTCTCTTAAGGGCATAACACTTGTCAAATTCAAAACAGAGTGTAATATTGGTAGCAGTTCACATGGTCCAGTAATGGACCTTAATCCTGCTACATTTTAAACTGCCGTGGTAACATGATAAAATGAAAAAATAATGATAAAATACTGTCACATGTTCACTAGGGACAGTTTACTCCCGATTACAAGATGCAGTTGCTACCTATTTCCTAGGCCGTTAACCAACCTTCCTTCCTTCCTTCCTAGCACTCCTTTAACTTCCCTGGTGTTTATCTTGGCTCTACCCAAGAGATTCCGTTTTTTATTGAGAACAAAGGAAAAACACATGCCAGAGTGACAATGGATTTATCCAGACATGATGACTTCACATTACATTTTGCTCTCCAGTCAGGTATTTATTTATGAACTGTGATTATCTGGAAAAAATTGTTGCATAAAAGAAGAAAAGGCTACACTGGGTGGTTGGTAGGAGACTGTCATTTTCCTTTTATTCCTTCACATATTTATTTTAACCCAGATGCTGCAAGGCACATCTTTGTGTAGGGCTAAGTATTTTTAACATAATGCAACTCTGGCTCTTTTTAAATTTCTTCTGTTCTTTTTGAACAAGTTATACCCTTTAATTCCTATATTCCAGTACTGAGTGTCATTCCACCAAGTTTCGTTTAATATCTGTCAAATTTTATTTGCCTTCACATTTTAAAAGTTCAAGTTTATTTTGTTTTTTTCTCATACTTTAGGCATTAGTGTATAGACATTGAAGCCCATGTGTTTATGTTCTGGTTCTCTTCATACATTATTGAAAAGACTATTTGGGGGCATTTCTATAGAGATTTTCTCTGTTACGGTGCATAAACCTTCATCTTCTGTTGCCTCCAACTTCACTTGCCCCTCCCCAGTAGGATTCAGTTTAAACCCTCCTGATAAAATTCCTTATGCTGTGGTCAAACACATTCTTTCCAGCTCTTATGAAGTGCAACCTCTGAATTGTCAACAGTGTGTCTTCCAAGTAGCGTAGTCTCTGCTCCCAGTATCTAAACTTCTCATATCAGTCTCATCTTCATAACTGGTTGTTCAGCTGGAGGATTCCCCATCCCTCTGATTCCTTTTTCAAGAACTGGGAGGATGGATGAGAACACTGTCTAGTGCCCAAAGCTTTCCAGAGGTTTAAAATCCGATGCAATTTCTTTGTAGCTCTATGTGTAAGGGTTAGTTTCTATGAAAGCCTTTGCTGCAAGTTGCTGAAATAAGCTGGCTTTGTTGGCCTTATATACCTCCTAACTGTAGACATCATTAGGTCTATGGTAATGCAGTACATTCTTCCAGTTCCTCCACTTCTATCTTTTTGACACATGTACTGAACTTCCCCAACATGGTTTTATTTGGAGGAGTGGTCATGGAGGGTCCTGTCAACTTGCTCTTTGTGTGCTTCCTGTGTTAGGGTTTGTTTTATCTCACTGTAGGCCCATGTTTACAATAAAACCATTGGCTAAATGTGGACCCATTGATGTCAAGATAATTTCTAATTTATTCTCTTTGTTTTAGTTATATTATTTAGTCTTTGGTACATAGGAATTAGTCAGAGTTGCCAACCAAAGAAGTGTTGTTGGCACAATCACAACAAATGTGTGCTCCTTCAATAACCTTTTTTAAAAATAGGCAGTTTTTGAAGTATACTTCAAAATGTTTCTTAGACCAAAGAACAGCTTTCAAAACCATGTAAAGTAATTTTTTCTTCTTGGAGATTTCTTCTTGGGCTTTATATCTACAGTATTCTAGAGAAGGATTTCTAGTACTGAATATATTGGGATCTTTGTGCCTATGTGTTTACAACACACCACTTACTCTGCATTGACATTCTGTGATAACTTTCTTTAGCTTTTTTGTGTAAGACCCCGCTGCCGCATCCCCATCCCAAAAACATATTTCTCTCTCAGATTCCATTGTACCAAGTTTGTCTTTCATTGTGACAAAGATGTTTATTTACTATTCAAATTTCTGGCTTGTAATGTTACTATGAGCTTCTCTGTATAACAATGGTATGATATGACCTGAAGTTTGGGCTCTTTAGAAAATACTTTACTATAAATGACATGCAATTGTTTTTGATTTTGACATTTGAGTCAAACCCACTTGATTTCCTTATATGGTAACATTTGGCACAATTATTTTTCCAATACGTTTTCAGACCAGGAGATGATAGATTCTTTTAAGCCTTCAGTGACATCACCCAGACATGTGGACTTAAAATTTGGAAATTGGTGAACTCATTGTACCATTAATTCATCACAAGGCAGAGTTAGCATGGAATGTTTTTTCCCTGTCTGAAATGAACCCACTATGGTTGCATGGTACCATCCTTATTTTTGCTTAATAAGATACGTTAGCCAGAAATCATGGCCCATGTAGCTAGCTAGTAGCAACTTAAAAAAAATAGTGCTACTAAATATATACAGCTATTCTATTTTTTATACTTTAGTAAGCTTTGAAGTTTTTAAAGTACAGCTTATGTCAAGATCACTTAAGATTGTTTACTTCTATCTTTCCTTGTAAACATCACTGCTGTTTATGCTCCACAGGGAATATGCTTGTACTGTGGTTGATAGCTGAAAGAGAGTGGTAATAAGCAGAGCAAGAAGACTTCAACTAGACAAACAAATTGTATTGTATGGGCTTTTTGCTTTATCCTAAGCATGTTTGTTTGAAAGTACATATACTTACTGATAGGTATATTTAGTATAGCTGTATCCAAGTTTTCAAATGTAATATTCAGAAACTTGTTCTCTGAATGTGGATTTTTCCCATCCCTGCTGGAATGAAGCAGGCAAGTCAGCAGTTCAGGAACTGGCTGTGAAACACTTTACTGAATTACTTCCGACCTCTCTTCTTCTTGACACTGATCTTTGGGGTTATGGATCTGTCAAACTTAATCAGGACAATTGACCAATAACACACACAAATCTTTGTTTTCTGACAGATATGGGCATCACACCAGAGGCAACTCGTTTGTATTCTGCAACCATAGAAGCAAATTCTGCTTTGGAATGTTCATTGAGTTTCACTCCAAAAGAAGTAAGTCTATGAGATCAAAATAAGCACACCTTTTTTAAAAAACCTTTTCTATGTGTACAGAAAATGGCAGGTCACCACAGTCACTAAATTGCTTCATGACAACCTGCATAGCATGCTGTCATATTCCACAAAGAACACAATTACCTAATGGCATCTCAGGTGACTGGATGCCTATTGGTGTGGAAAAAAAATGAATCCACCCAAAATAAGACAGCGATTTCTATTTGCTGTGGTAATTATACACCATATAAAATCAATTCTGTCATGTGTCTGGTTGCATATTATCTTAGTACAATTTTTGGAAGGTTTTTAATTAATACTTTGCATGGTCCAGTACTTATTATACAAAGTTTTCTGAGACTCAGTTCAGATGCCACCTTAAAAAGTTTTACATGTTTGTAGAGGAGCTAGCATAAATCTCAGTATTGCCAACTCCTCTTCACCTGTCCTGCTTTGCATGTAAGGAACGTCACTGACTGTAAATGTTCCCTTTCACTTAAGAAAGTGAAGCACATGGAACTGTGGTTAATTCTAACCAGAGTTAAGAAGCTAGGATACCTGGCCAGTGTTTGAGCCACAATTTCCTGAGTTCATGCAGCAGAATAGTAGCTTGTTCTAAAGTGAAAATGAAACTTTCTTTCCTCACAAATGAAGGAAGAAAGTGGAGTGGGGAGTGCATGAGCCGCACACTGGCTTGTTTACAATTACCTAAAACAGTTAAAATCAGAATTTCTTAAATCTCTTGAAGGTGGAACCCATTAATAAAATAACTGCCTTTGAACCCTACTTTCCCCTCTCTACCAAAAAGCTGATCACATCAATAATTAACACTGACCAAATATATATTTTATTTTTTACTTGAAAAGTTAATATAAGCATATTCAGACAGTATTTAAGCAAGACACGTAAGGAGGGAGGGAATGAGCTTGTCTCAAAAAAGAGCCTGGTGGTTATGGTAAATGATTAGCTCAATGCAAAAAGGACAAAAACCTCAAATGAAGAAGCACCCCTCTTTGTATGACCCATCCAGGAATTGTCAGGATGCTTAACATATCTTTTTAAAATGTCAGACTGATCACTTACAAGAATATGCAAAATGTCGAATGACTGAACTTTTACCGACTAGGAATATATGAATATAGCTGCATCTAGAATACAGAATATAGCAGACAGTTATATTTTTCCCCGTCAATTCCCGTGAGTTAATGGTTTTGAAAACAAACATTTTATGTTACAGGAGCATTTTTCCATATAATTTTCCATTTTAAAATGGTCATAAATATTCAGTGATCTTTTAAAATGCTTTGTTTTCCCCTGCAGATGAGCTTTCAGTTAAAATGAGAAAAATAAAGTGCTGTCTGAAGTTGTTCATTTAGATTTCGTAACTTTTTGTTTTTAACAAAGAGTAAATTATATTCCCTGGGCTCCTTTAAAGTGAAGGGAATGATCTGCAGTACAAGGCTCAGTGCAGTCCCTCTTGGCAAAGCACTTGATGTAGGAAGGAGCTGAGCTGTGCTGGCAAGGAGCGCTTTCCCCCCTCCAGAGGTATTTTTCGCTTTTGGCAAGAGCTATGATTCCCCCTGTCCTAAACAACAGCTTTGCCCCCAAAATAAGATTCCACATTTTTTCCTATCATACATCTTACTGGTTCTAAACATTCTCAAGTACCTGGCAACAAAATTCTAATGTGTAAAAATAATGAGTGAAGTTTTACAGGTAATTTTTTCAAGGGAACTAATCTCTTGAATCTTTCAGTGCATAAATGAGTCCTAGATACTTCCTTGTGAATAATTTTAATTTTTATATCTCTATTTTATCTTCTTCCTTCTTTCCTTATGTGGGTTTTTTCCTCTGCTAGTCTGCTTAGATATTAAGGCTATGTCACCACCTGATCAGCTATTCTGCTATGGGAGCTTCACCAGCTGAGGAGCAGGTAGCTCACTGCAAGGCAAAGCATGCCAGAACTATAGTTTCTTCTAAAGTGGAAGTGGATTCTTTCTGTCTCCTCACAAATAAATAACATGGAGAGGAGAGCCAGTGACTCTCTAATGGGCACAAGTCTGGTATCCGTGAGAGATAATGAAAGGACTGATTGTTAGCAGCCATGCTGACTTCATATAGAAGAAGCAGCTTTTCCAAAAACAAAACACAGTTGGTTGACATGGCATAGCTGATAGACACATCTGGGAATGTGTATTGATCCCAGTGTAAAGAATGTACAGTGAAGGCACCAAGACTAGCAATCCTTTCCTAATACATGCAGATGCTGGCTTCAAAAGACTATTGATGTCAACTTTGAGAGCAAGGTTGACTATTTTTGATTAAATCTCTCTTCTCACTTGTTGGCCTTCAAATCCTCAGGCACAGATAGAATCTCATCAATACCTATTCACAATGTGCACTAAACTTTCCCTAAAAGTATTGCTTTAATTTGTCTTTTACCAGGAATTCTGCAAGTCTTTTAAAGAATGCAGTAAAAGGGCTTAAGGAAGCTCAGCATTAAACCAGAAATTAAGTTCAGAAAGAATCTCAAATGTACAGAAAACGTTTAAGTTCTAGAATGGTAAAACTGAGTTTGCCTAGATCCTCCCCATGCATGTGCAGGCCTACACACATGCGCACATGCATGCACGCATGTAAACACAGGTACGTGAATGCTGTCAAATGGGCAGCATACAATGTTGGGAGTTCACCAGCTCTTAAACACATTGTCCTAGTGGGAGCATTCAGTAGCACAGCAGGAAACTAGCACTTACAGAAGTAATTCTGTAGCTGAGTAAGTAGCTGAGGCTACTGCTTCTGAATGAGCCTGTTCAACTGAACTTCCCTGACCTGCTTTTTTCCAGAGGTGTGATTACTTTGGCTAGTTTCTGGTTACAGCACCCTGTGCTGGTTTCCTGCTGCATTGGCAGGTGGTCTACTTAACATAGCAGCGGCATCAGATACTGTTTAATGTAACTAATTTAACTATCCAGAGGGATATCCAAAACACTTGAATTTATAAGATTTTTTTGCTGGAGGGCAGCCTTCCCCTTCCTTTGCCTAGCACTTCTATTACCCTAATAGGCAGATCTCCATTGGTGTGTTCTTCTGTGAACAAACTTGCACTTTTCACACTTTTTCACATGGGCACCGCTATAGGATCACTACTGCCAAGCTGTGGCAACTTGATATGAGTGTGATTGCTTATGCATGGGCAATATTTTTCTGTGTCCTTTCCCTTCAAGGTGAAGGTTAGGTACAGGAATAAAGGAATTTTTATTGGGGAAAGGTAACCTATTTTTCTTCTCAGAGGATCCTAAGAATGTGTGATTTGAACATGGCTCTAGGAGTTGACACATCTTGGGTGTGGGGCATGTATTCTTCTCTTGTACAGGTGTTCTCCCAGCAATATAGCCCCTAGGCTACCCCTCTTAATCTCCTTCGCTATAATTAAGAGCGGTCAAGATTACTGCTACTATACAGCTTTGTGTACTAAGTAAACTCTGCTAAAAGTTCAGGCAGTTGCATAGATTTTCAGTGCTCCCCATTGTGTGGCTAGCCAGTCCTAAAACAAAAATATAAAATTGCTCCTATGACCATGAAAAAGCAAATGGAGAACCACTGCAGTGCTTTCTAAAGCAGTTTGGTCTCTAACAAATCTCTGAAGGAAAGGGGTTTTCTCATTCTGGGGCAGCTGCAGAAAACAGCTCTGAAACACATCTTTGGTTCTCCCTATGTTCATTTTCCTGTATGTGTCATGGGAAGATTAGCTCAATTCCTGTTAACATCTAGGATGCAAGGAGAGTGATGATCTACCTCAAAGCCTGATTGTTGCAGATTTCTTCGATGTCCACAAATTTTGATGGCTTTAAAAGGGTTTAGACAAATTTGTGAAGGATAAAGCTCCCGGTGGCTATATGCTGTCTCTGGTATCAGAGGCACAATGCCACTGCATTATAGCACTGGGGTGCCGAAGCAGGAGGGGGCTTTTGAACTTAGGTTTACACAGGTAGCTGGTTGGCCACTGAATGAACAGAATGCTGAACTTAGATGGATCCTTGGTCTGATCCAGCATATCCCTTCTTCTGCTCTTCTGTCATAATTAAGATGCAACTGGACAGCCATCCGAGAAGGATGGTTTAACTTGGAGTCCTGCACTGAGCAGGTGATTGGCCTCTTTATCTCTTCATGCATTAACATTCATTTCTACCTCTTCCTCCACAGTACAGTTGCTGCATCATAGAAAAAGGCCTACACATAACTTTGATTATAATGGCAGTTTTATTTGTCTGATCATGCCTGGGGGGATGTTGAGAAAGCATGGACATTTGAGAGGCTGTGTGGGTTATATCTTCTCCTGCATCTCTTCTGAGGTTTCTCTGTTTTGTTGATGCATATCACTGAATAGGAGCCAACTCTTCTTTTAGCCAGAAACAGCTCTTTACAATGCCATCAGCCTTTCTGTTAATACTAATTCTTCAGTATTATCTACAATTGTGTTCTCTGCACCAAATAAGCACAATGTTTCTTTTAAAACTCTTAATTTTCATGAAACCATACCATAGTATGAATAAAACACAGTGCCTGTGAGGTCCTGGTTATTCCTGGCCTTCCTTGAAAATGGAATTGGAACTTCAGCTTGAATTTGTACATGTAATTTTGATTGTGACCTAAATGTACTCATTAACTTTTAGTCTCCTAACTCAATTTGTAAGCTATATATTATATTTAAGTCCATTTTATTTCTCATAATAAAAATGAGGTTGGAGCTCATGTTCATATCCAAACTTGATGCAGGAATTTTGTCCTGGAAATGTATCCCACATTTAATTCTGGGATCTCAAGCACTCAGTAGCTGATTGCAAAATAAGCAACTGATAATAAACTTAAAGAAATAGCAATCCAAAAGCTATACTTTGCTCAACCAACTATGTGAATAATTTAGTATTAAACCAAGTTTTATGGAACTGTTTAGAAAATGCTTCCTTCTCAATTTCATTTCTGTCAACAGATTATAAAACTTTGGACAGGGCTATATGCTCAAAAACAAAATATGTAGTGCCTTCTATAGTACTTGGCATAGCTTAAGAGGTAGGTGATAATGAGTGTGACATATATTGTATAAACTCTGCAAAATATTACATTATTTGTATTCCTAAGAAAGACTATATGAGACAATCTAACGGTACAAAGGATCACCACTCTTTAACTGTTTTTTAAAATGCACAAGCTGGCATCAGTATTCACTACAAAATACTTAAAGGTTTTCCCACAAGAACACTCTTTCTTAGGCACACTGCCTCTATTTCAAGTCTTCCTGGGTTTCTATATCTTATCTGTTTTGTATATTCCGCAGAATGCTTATATCCTCCTGCTGCAAACCACTTTACCAATGGCTCTGTTTCATGTTTCCCCAAATGTTTTTCTCATTCCCTACCACCTCTACTACTACCTATTAGCTCACTCCCTCACACTGAAGTCAGGCCTACTGTGGGATCAGTATTTGCTTCAGTTATACTGCCTGCTTCTATCTCTGGGCATATAGCAAAAGCCCATGCCCCTACACTGGGACTCCCCTGCAGAGTTCTCCAAGATACCAGCCTGTAACTAGATTGCCAATAAGAATGTGTGTTCCCGAGCATTCTTTTTCTGGATTAAACATATGTCTAGAAGCAGGTGTCAGGCGGATGAAGGGGAACACACTGAGATTCTACCCAGACAAAACAGAACTCGTACTGCTTGGGAGGTGGGAAGCATGGGATGTGCAGCATCAGTGGGGTATCTTGCTCACTTATCTGGCAGGTTTGCAGCCTCAGTGTCCTGAACCCACTGCTTAATTGGATAAATGGTTAAGAGTACATAGATGGCCTCTTTGTATGCTTGAGGATTGACAGTTGTAATGTACTCCATGTGGAACCACCATTAAATATGATTTCAAATGTATATAAATGCTACAGCCTATCTTTTAGTGAGTGTTGGTAGGCAGATGTATATCCAACTGGTTCTATACCAACTGCACTGACTACTGTGAACTTCCATGCCCAGTTAAAAGTGATGATAATAAAAGCCATCTATGGCATGGGCCTGAAATATCTTCGAAAGTGCCTCTTCTCCTAAACCCCTTCCTGGCCATTTGTGGTCATTTTCTCAAGACTTGCTCTGGATATATTCAATTCAGGAAGTGATTAAGGAAAAGGATACAAATATTAAAACATTTTCCCAGAAGACTGGAGTTCCTTTCTTAACTCTGGAATGTGAGGTATTTGCATGCACTATCCTTTTGTCCTTTTTGCTATGCACAGTAGCCCATTCTTTATGATTTCACTGTTGCTACATGGAGCAATCCCCTATTCTTCTTATGTGAAATGACTTCTGACCAAATACAAAACATTTGACAGCTTCAGGCATTCAAAAATATAAAATGGTTTTACTCTTTTGTTGTCTGTAATAAGAAATTAACAGGTTCACATTTACCCTCTAGGTGGCAGCATATGACTTCACTCTTCCAATAAGCATTAACAGTGGAGCTACACCATCTTCAGCAAATGCCACAAAAATGACAAGTCCCATTGGATCAGCAAAGCATATCATTGTCCCACGGCCTCAGTCACTGATTATACCTACTCGAGTATGCGAAGTACAAGCAATTGGTATGTAAACCGTAGAAGTAAGCATAGGCACATGTACATGGAAGATGGCATATAACACTTTTTCGTTTCTGCTGGAATGAAGCCACAGTATTTAGAAGAGTTGAGAGGGGCTAGCGTGGACAAGGCATTTAATTCATGGGGTATTCATAAGTTGGAGACAACATGACAGCACGTAATAACAGTAGACATCTGACCACACTAAAAGAGAATCTGACATGATCAGATGATCACTTCATGTGATAAGAGACAGTGCCAACATATGCAAAGGTTTTTAAAAGTGCATAATTGCCTGAAGTAGCGATGCACAAGCTTCTTCCTTAATTAGAAAAATGCATCTTGTATTGTTTTTAGTCAAGGACACAATACTATGATCTACATGTCCATTTGGTTCAGATGTTAGACTATTCATGTGAATAGCGCACTTGTATGTCTAGTTATACATGGGAGTTAGCTCACTTTGGTAATGTCTGCTCTTGAGTCAAGTTTTAAGTCTTCATATTAAATTGGAGTTAACTTTATCTCCCTTGTAATAAGTTTGCTAATATGTAGGGCATTTTTATATTGTAAATAGGAATTCATCTTTTTCTTTTAATCTTTTGTCAGTTTCACTATTTGAAACAAAAGATTTGTAGTAAAAATATCCAGATAAATCCCTATTCTATTCTTCTTGTTGAATGATGACCCCACAAATATCTCCTGGCTCAGTCAGATGGAGTGCTGTTGGCTTCAACCCATTCAGTTAGTATAACAATTTGTTCCTTCAAGAACTGCTTTGTGAATCCATTATAAGCAAGGCATTGATCTGGAAAGCACTGAAAGGTCATTTAATCCAATGCTTTGCCTGAAGGCAGGTCTACCCATCCAGGAGGCCTTCCTTGAAATTCTTGCAATCTAGGCCACAGTGGCACAGCTCATGATTTTTCAGGTATAATGACAAACCAAGAACAAACTAGCATGAGATTCATCCTAAAAAGCTGGTCTATTCCTTTTCTTTACGCTTCAGGTGCAGAGAAGATGGAAAATGTCTAGTTTTGAACTAACCACAGTTCCCTTTTACATATGGCATAAACACAGCAGGATCAATTTGTGGTATGATATCCTGGTTTATGCTAGAACTACACCTACATTGGGTCACAGTTTCACAAGTAAAGACTGGGTGAACTGCAAAAAAAGTACTGGGGGAAAAATAACTTTGGAGAACATTCTGTCTTTTATTGTGGCAATCCTTGATAACCTTAAGTAACAAAGAAACTGACAACATCTTATGTAGAAGAAAAGAAGCTTTCCTCACTTCTACAGGCTATACCTGAGGCATCATGCACCCTTTAGTGCAGGGTTACACACACATTTACACACACACACACACACATATATAGGGAGGCATGCATTTCCTTTGCTGCTACCAGCGGAGTGGTGAATCTTTTTGCAGCTGTTTGTAAGCAAGATGGAATGAATTAACCGCACTATCAAATAACATCTCAAACACCAAGCCTATGCATTTCTACTCACAAGTGAGCATAAATAGCATGTTTATTCACAAGTAACATTTTTGCTGTTATCTATATTTTATATTTTATTTTTTGTTTTTTAATCAATTGTTTACTACCCAGAGAAGTTTGGCTATTGAGCAATATAGAAATGACAGTAATAACAACAATATATCTTGTCTAGTGCACCCATAGACTTTACCTTTAAATAGTCATGTCACCTTGGTAGTTCTTTTGCAATCAGCCTGTTTTCTTAGGTTTTTTATTTCTCCTTTTTCAGCTGTAATACCAAAGCATATTAAAAGCTTAACTGCAAATGCATAACATCATCATTACTGCATTTCAGTATTTTTAAAAATCACTTAGATTTGTAAGGTCATTCAGTTTAACCTTCTTAAGCACCTAACATATTTTATATTTAATTTCTATACTGCCCAATAGCTGAAGCCAAAGTGCTTGGTAGTGTTGCAAATTTTATCTACCCATTAATTTTCCTCCTCAGCATCATATATTGTGAGCCCATATAGACAGATCCCATATATGGCCTATTGTGGCAGCATATAAATCCATTAAATAAATCTAAAGAGGCAGTTCCCAACATTCTAATCAAGTCCAATGACCAAAAACCAGAAGCAAGAATGGTTCTGCACAGACAAAACGGCGGGACTATGGGGCTTTGCACTGCAATGACAAGGAAATTAGTTTAGCATCCACTTCATTAGAGTCCTTGAATATGCCCCTTGACTTTTTCTAAGCAATAGTTACTATTCAGATTTATAACAAACAGTCGAATGGTATATTTGGAAACAATGGCCTTCTACTCACCAAATTCGTTCACACACAATGCTGAGCAATACCTTGAAGTAACCTATCTTACCTTGTGTCCTGCATTCACACATTATGAGGTAACTACTCATGAGTGGTTTCTGTGCATCTCCATCTCCCCTCCAAATGGCACCATGCATCCCATCAGCCCCTACACCTGGGAACCGATCCACATGCACACCGATCCTACCTGTATCCCCTGCCTCTTCTCCACTGACCCCTGGGCATGTTCTTAGCTATCTGCTGCTGCTTTTTCTGCAGCTCTGCAGAGTGCCTGTCTACTCATTAGGGCAGCATAGTGGCTCTGCAAGAGCAGCAGAGCAGCACCCCTGCTGCCCCCATACTCTGGTGCCCATGCACAAGCACCCACCTGCATACATCCACACCTCTCCTCCCTCCCTCCCTCCCTTGTGGCACATGTGCCTGAGGCGCTTCCCCACATGCAGGAATCACACATGCTGCCAGGGCTGCCTCCCCCTGGCAGCCTGGAGCATGGAGGGCACACTTTTCCCAGGAAGCCTGTCTGGAGAAACTCTGCAGTGCTTGCAAAGAGTTCCTTACATTCTTGGGGACAGGGTGGGAGCAGGCAGGGCAGGAGACACAGATTCTGACAGCAATGCAGCAACTGCTAGGTGAGCAGGGCAGCAGAAAATGGTAGCAGGAGCAGCCACAGCTGCTCTTGTGCCCAGAATGGGGAATCCACAGAAACTGTCTTCACACATAATGAGCCAGTGTGGTGGTGTGGTTAAGAGCATGGGACTTGGACTCGGACGACCTGGGTTTGAGTCCCCGCTCAGCCATGGAGCCAACTGCGTGACTTTGGGCCAGTCACAGACTCTCAGCCCAACCTACCTCACAGGGTTGTTGTTGTGGCGATAAGATGGAGGAGGAGATGTAAGCTGCCTTGAGCCCTTTGTAGGAAAAAAGGCAGGATATAAATCGAAAAATAAATAATGTGGAGAACACTTGACTGCCTGTAACAACCAGAAACTTGAATTGGTAACATGGATCCTTTCTGCCATTTTTGTGGTCTGTACCCAGCAGATTTACCTTGGAGCATCTTCAGGTAAAAAGTTAAGTTTTGTGCTTTTAAAGATCTCTGCCTCTCTAAGGTAAAGCCAAGAACAGTCTTCAACCTGGGCATCCTGGGGGAAGAGTTCTGTAAGAGTTGGCTCTTCCCTCCAGAAGCTGACTCAGCAACACAGGTCTCCTGAATGCTGTAGCCTATTCCTGCATCTTGCTGGACCTTTGTCTCTGATCCTGTTCCTGCCTGGACTTATCTTAACCTGCCTTGCTTCCCTGCCTTACTTACCATGCCTTGCTGCTCCTGAACCCTGTGTAGTCATCCTGTCCCTAGAACTCATTGTTCTAGGATTGTTCGATCAGTTCTTGGCCTCTTGCCTGTTACGGCTCTGCTTTGTCTCACTCCACACTGTACTCCTGATTCCTGACCATTGCCTGCTCTGTGACTATGAGTTGGACTTGTTATTGGACTTGCTGTTGGACTCTGGACTTTTATGCTGCCTGAATTCTTGTTGTCTGTGTGCTGGTTTCCTGCCACCCATGCCCCAGATCCTGACAATGAAGTTTTGTTGTTTTTTTGCCTATATGCAATATAAAAATGACTCTATATGCAATATGGGCACAGATCTACAAATTAGATGGATACCATTATGCCATAGCAGGTGAAGCATCATTATGCATCTAGCATGAGAGAAGTAGCTAGTCTTAGTAATGATCACAAGTCTGATGTATGTCAGTCCTGTGCATATTAACTCAGAAAAAACTTCAGCTGAGTTCAGTGGGACTTATTCCTTTCTAAGTGGACATCTGAATTTTAGTCTGCATTTAATGCTTCTATTTCTTTATTTCAATCTAACAAATAAAAATGAGTGCTATTTCTATTTCTTTTTCTGTACTTCAATTTGAACAGCAAGTGCAATCAATTCAATTTTATGTAAAAATGCAAGCACTCATGATAATAAAGAGGTTAATAATTGGTACATGAAATTCAGTGGCTCCATAAAAAATAATATGGCTTGGATTTTTCATCACTAGTAAAAAAAAATACTGTTTGACTGTAATTAAAATAGGTGGATTAAAATGCTACCTCAGTTCAGTTTGATTTAATTAGTTGCAGTATTAAAGTACTTCACACTGTCCTGCTAGGCCCCAGTATTTTGTACTTTACATTCCACTGAAAGGAAAAGCAAACTTGGATTTATCTGAGTTACATGGGAGATGTACAAAAGACACCTATGCATTATTGTGTGCTTTAAAGTCAGTTTCCTTTTACAATCTTGGATGCAAAATTAAAGGTTAATGCTGAGAAATACATAGGGAAAATAGAAACCTTACAAATCTGTAGTTCCAAATCCACGAGTATGCCATAAGCTCACAAAATCCTTTTTCCATGGTTTGTTGTGATACCTAAGTCAAAAAAACTATAGGACCATATCCAATCCTTCCACTGCACTTCCACTGTTTCTGTTGAACCAGCAGACCCCCATTACCACAGTGGGAAGTTAGCTCTTTTAGAAGCAACCTCAGAAATGAGTGGAAATGCTCATTTCTGAAACAGGGCAGTTCAGTAGAGTTCCATTCTGCTAGCTCCAATAACCTGCCCTATTCCTCTAATAATAGTTTGGGCTTGTTTCTATCTGCCTGGGGATCTGGTAGTACATGAGCAATGTTGCATACTTTCCATAGTTATGGCTGGCCTCAAAACAGTCTATAGAATGGCGTGGCCATACCTAAAGTGGTTAAGAGAACAGATCTGGGACTCAGGCAATCTGGGTTCTAGTCCCTGCTCAGCCATGGAGCCAACTGGGTGACTTTGGGGCAGTCACAGACTCTCAGCCTAACCTACCTCACTGAGTTGTTGTGGGGATAAGATTGAGAGCAGCAGGAGGAGAATGATGTAAGCAGCTTTGAATTCTTTTTAAGTATATAGGTGGGATATAAATCTAATAAACAAATAAACATAAGGTAAAAATCTGATGTTTGAGAGTGGCAAGCAGGTGGTGACTGTGGGAGATGAGCCACAAAATAAACTTAAAGAGCTGCATGCATCTCCTGAGACTTGGTTTGGCCACCCCTGCTATTGAATTACTTACTTTAAATCAATAACTATAGTTTGCTGATTTGGATGTCATCACAAATTATGATTTTAAAAAAGGAAGTGGTGATTGGGCCCTGTGTGTAATGCAAATCTCAACCTCCATTTCATCTGTTGGAAGAATGGATTTATAATATCTGGATTAAGCCAAGGTCTCAATTAAGTAGATATTTTATATTGGATAAATTATATAAATGTACACCATGGGGGAGATTGTTTATATATAAGAGTGAAAAGTACTTGAGTTACAGGAACTTAAGTGGTAGAGGTTTTAACAAATAACAACTTGCTGAAGAATTTTGTGAGAAGTTAAATAAAAGTGTGTGTATTTGCTTCCATCTACAGTATTACAACCACCACTGGAACTTTTTCCTATGGAACTTGTATTTCAGTACGGTGTAAGAGGTATCAACTTGGGTGTGATAAGTGACAGCAGTAACATAAAGGTAGGTATATTGTAGGGCTGAGTAGATTTCTCATTTCTTTAAGTGCTTCAATATTATTTTCTGGCTCTTTTAAAGTATGTTTAGCTTCCACTTGGGCCACCTTAGGGCAAGAAAGGGGAATTTCAGGATGCTGTTAACAGATTTTCTACATGTACCCTTGCACTGTTTGCTAAACAACTTCCCCTTTTAAATTCTTTAATTTTTTGTTTTGTCTTTCTGCATGAACAGCATATATACTTAAGAATAGTATTTTTGTAACACCTAAAAGGAAACAAGATAGTATACAGTACATAACATAAAATTTAAAATGCTGAACTGTACTTCGAGGTTTAAAATCCTAAAAAATGGATCTATGAGGCACTGGTAGGATGAAAAGGAAAAGAGACATTTGCATCATTTGTTTATCAATACATGAATGAGCTCATATCACCTCATATGCTGAAAAAGGAAAAGTTTTGCTGCTGCTGCTCTCCCCCACCCTTTCCACTGATTGCGGGTTGCTGCTTTGCCTAAACGCAGGCAAACTTTGGTTATTCTTATCTACCATTTATGAAGTCTGCTTCAGTTAACCATCATTAAGATTAACTTCATTTCAGGATTTGGGCATAATGCTAATTTGTAATTGATGTATAATTGAAAGCTTCCAATCACTTCATGGCTGCTTATGATAAACCTTAGCTTAATGTGATGTCTGAATGAAGTTATTAAGATAAAATGATCTTCTGTTGCTGTGCAGCAAAACTTGGGATCATAAAATTAAGGAACTGAGAGGAAATTGAAAAAAAAATTCAAAAGTATTATTCAAGAAGGAACAATGAGTTTTGACATTATCCGTATTGCATCAGTCAAAAGTCTAGATAATTCAGAACCTCAAAATCTTGGGTGAAATTCTATCCAGAATTTTGCAAGCAACTGTAGTGGTTTATAGTTTTATATCTGCCCTCCCCTTTATACTGGAGTTTTTGTTATTATATATGCCTAACAATGACAGCAGGAAAGCTCCAGGCCTGCCTTGCACTTTCACTATTAGCTGTTCATTTGAGCAGTGGTAGAAGAGCTATTGAAAGTAAATAATCCTCATAGGAATATTCTTATGTATGATGTCAGACCCATGATGGATAGTAAATTAAAGTTGATTACAATTTCTTTCATTAGAACTTCTAAAACCTTGACTCTGGGTCTGGCATACATTATAGAAAGTTCACTACTCTATCAATATTAGTTAATATTGCAACTAATATTAAAATGTAATGCAAAACTCACAGTGAGTGGTTCTCAGTCCTATATTAAAAAGGTTTTCTGCAATGCAAATTTTTGAGCATTAATATTGTAATATCTACCTGTATAGCTGGGATGGTTAATTCTAATATTACCGCTTTTATTTGGATCCAAATAAAATGTTATAAAACAGATTTGATATTCCCCACTGTCCAATTGTAATGGCATTTTGTAGTTATGTGGAGTCAAGTTATCTCAGATCCATGGCAACCCCATGAATGAATGCCCTCCAACGTGTCCTGACATTCTTGCTCAGGTCTTCCATATCAAGGCTATGGCTTCCTTTATGGAATCCATCCATCTCATAGTTGGTCTTCCTCTTCTTCTCCCGCCAACTTTCCCTAGCATGACTGTCTTGTCCAGTGAGTCTTTTCTTCTCATGAAGTCTCTTCTTCTTCTAACTTGATTTGCTTGGAACCCACTTCATCTTTCTGTCAGTCCAGGGTATTCAGCTGTCCTCCGGGACCATGTTTCAAATACATCAGTTTTCTTTCTGTTAGCTTTCTCTATTGTCCACTTTTCATATCCATGCACGGTAATCAGGAACACAAGCAGTAATTGGTCATGGTCTCCAGTGAAATGTCCTTATACTTGATAATCGTTTCTAGTTCCTTCATTGCTTCCCCTCTCACTTTCAGCCTTCCTCAAATTTCTTGGCTATAGTCTCCATTTGAATTGATGACAGAGCCAAGGTATACAAAATCTTTCATGATTTCAATTTCTTCATTGTTGATATTAAAGTTGTGTAGGAAACAATTCTGTTTCTTCATATTCTGTCCTTACAGTTTCATGTCTGCATTACAGATTACTCATCAGGACAATCAATTGCTGAGGCGCACACATTTCTTTCAGCACCATTCATAGTTTGTTGTGATCTACACAGTTGGCGGGGTGGGGTGGGGGCTTTGCTGTAGTCTTTGAAGCATAGGCTCATCTTCTGAAATTCTTTGGTGCACTGCAGTAGCCAATGTATATTTCTAATATAATCTTGAAGGCCTGTTTCTTTTCAGAATCCAGCTTGAACATCAGGCATTTTTGCTCTATATGAAGTTATTCATTGCAACATCTTGAACATCACTTTTCTTGCATGGGTAATTGCATGGTTTTTTATTTTAATAGTTCATAGTTACTACCACGATATGTTCCTAGTCTTGCTTTGGCAGAGAGAATTCAGATTCTCCATTTCTTACTTCCAATTCCATTGTCAATTTGATTTCTTTATTGACCATGTGGTAATACATGTGTACAATCATCTTGTCAGTTGCCTGAAGCATTTCTCCTGGATACTTACTTAAAAGTTTCTGATTTCTTTTTCTTTGGCACCTGTTGATGGAGCATAGACATGAATGATGGTTTACTGTTAAGTTTTCTAAGAATTCTAATTTATATTATTTGGTTGGACTGTTCATTATAACGCCTTAGTGTCTGTATTACACTTTGCCTCAGTATTAGAAACTGCCACTCTGTTTCTTTTAAATTTGTCATTCCCAAAGTAAAACACTTGGCATTTTTCTGACTGAAAATGTCCCTTTCCAGGCCACTTTGTTCTCACCAAGTACCGTGAAGTTATAGCCTTGACTCATGCTTCTCATTTTCCATGTTCCAGCTGTATGTATTGTGCAACATTGAACTTTCCTTTTGTGTCTGTGCATAACAGTGGCTAGTCTTCCTGTGGCTTTGATCCAGTTATGTCATTAGGTACAGTGCTATTGTCCTTTGTCTTTCCACAGTGGCTGGTTAAATACTTTCTGACCTGGGTATGTAATCTCTGGCACTACCTCTTGTTTCATCATAGAGTAAGAAATCTCAGAAACGGTTTTACCATTGCCTCCTTCTGAGCAATACTAACCAGAATTAGCTTGAATATCATTGCTTTTGTTTGCAAAAGATCACCCAGTATAGTGCTTCATTCATCTACCACTGCTGCTCAGTAGCTGTTCTTCAGGTTCTCCATCATCATCAGAAATAACCAATCTCTTCTGTTGATGTGATCAATACTACTTAAAAGGGTAGATGCATCTCAATTTGATGTCTCAGCTTCTACCATTCCACCTTGGGTGAATCTGCTAAGACATCAGCCCAGTGAGAGGATTGGGCTTTTTGGTGGCATTGCTCTTGGCTTCTTCGACATTCTCAAACCTCCTTAACGTGTTATGGTATGCACTTAAACTGGGATGTTTTAAATGATATTAAGTAGTCTGTATAATGTACATTATCCTTGCTCTATTATATATATCAGTATCACTCCTAATGTATTTGGGTAAATATAGTTGAAGTTTGGAGTGGGACATGAATCCTTGAGCATAGGGAAGTCCAGCTTGTTATGGTAATGAAATGGGTAATGCTACTAATTTGTCTGATACAGAAACTACAGCTGAGCAATATCTCAAAGCAACAAATTACGTGGAGATTTGATCTTGATGCTGCAGGAAAAGCAGTAGATGATGGTATCTTCAAATTTAGTTTACATTCTGGGATTCTCTACCCAGGTCAATTCACAATTGTTACTATATGCTTCTGTCCATGTAAGTAACACTTTCTGTCTTAGTCTGTATATAAATTTATGTCTGCTATTGGTTTGAAACTAATTTTGTTAAATGGAACTGTGAGGATAAGTGGAGCACATAAATATCATGCTTATTGTTTCAGCTTTCTGTTATCAACCCAGGAAAGTCCTGTTCCTAGCTAGTTTCATAATATGTGATCTTGGAAATTCAGATTTATTTATGGTTCAGGAACTCAGAGTTAACCCAGCAACAGACTATAAATGATCGCTGTGCTAATTCCAGGTTGTGTAAGGCTTGAACAACCCAGAATTTCCAGTTTTGCATGTCAGGAGACAATTCAAGAGTGAGGCATTGCTGGGTTGTTAAGGAAACATGGAAGTGATTATTCCTCAGCTTGTGCACTCCAATCGTCTTTGTAGTTCCTGAGTTAAATAACCCAGGAAAGACATTGTGATATGTCAGGTTCTTCTTAGGTGCTTGACAGAATTATACATTTTATTTAAAATAAATGCAAACAACTTTCCTTGAATGCAAACCTATAAAGTAGATTGGTACTGGGAAGACAAAGGTTATACATTCCATATGTATAAATAATCATGTGCTACTAAGCTTAACTTGATGCTGAAACAAATTGAACTCGATGGTGTTCAGAAATCTTAATGATAATTATTACATTTTGTTATCTTCTAAGAAGGGGTCTTCGTACATATATAGGAAGTTGAGCAAGGAGAGATCCATTCATATTTTGAAAAGCTTTAATTTAATAATTGAATTGTATTTTAAATTTAAATCATTTAAATAAATTAAATGCTTTACATTTAAATAATTAAAAAATATTCAGTGTTGAGAGTTTGTTCCTGAGCTCAGGGGTGAATACTTAGTTTGCTCTGGTGTAGTGCTTGAAGCTGCTATAAGATATAGAGCTTTCCTGAGTACAATGAATTTATTTATTTATTATTTATTTATTTAGGAGACTTCTATGCCTCCCCATTCGCCGAAGCCTTGGGGCGGCTCACATCCATAAATAAACTTCCATAAAATAATATAAATTAACAATATAAATTAAGTTGCCCTGGCCAAAGAATAAAATGAATAAATACTATTAACAATTAAAATGACATTTGAATAAAAAGATCTTCGCCTGGCGCCGAAAAACAAATGACGGCGCCAGGTGGACCTCTCTGGGGAGCGCATTCCATAGATCGGGCGCCACCGCAGAGAAAGCCCTCCTCCGAGTACTTACCCTCCTAATTTCCTTCACGGAGGGTTCCCAGAGAAGGGCCTCTCCCGCAGATCTCAAGGGGTGGGCGGGCATATATGGACATAAGTGCTCCTTCAGGTAACCAGGACCCAAGCCGTTTAGGGCTTTATAGGTCATCACCAACACGTTGAATTGGGCCCAGACTTCAATGGGAAGCCAGTGAAGCTGACGGAGGACTGGAGTCATATGAACATAACGCCCAGTCCCTGTCAGCAGCTTGGCAGCTATATTTTGAACCAATTGAAGTATCCAGACCGTCTTCAAGGGTAGCCCCATGTAGAGCGCGTTACAGAAGTCAAGTCGGGAAGTCACCAACGCATGTGTCACTGTCGCCAGGCAGTCGTACTCCAGGTAGGGGCGCAGCTAATGGATCAGCCGAAGCTGAAAGAAAGCGCTCCTCGCCACCGCTGTCACCTGAGCTTCCAGTGAAAGCTCTGGGTTGAGGAGCACTCCCAAGCTGCGAACCTTGTCCCTAAGAGGGAGTGCAACCCCATTCAGGACTAGGTTCAGTTCACCCTCTCTCAAGCCCGATCCACCAACCAACAGGACCTCCGTCTTGTCTGGATTGAGCTTCAGTTTATTGGCCCTCATCCAGCCCATTACCTCGTCCAGGCACCGGTTCAGCACAGCCACTGCCTCACCTGGATCGGTGGAAAACGAGAGGTAGAGCTGGGTATCATCAGCGTACTGATGGTTCCGCAGCCCACACCTCCTGATGACCTCTCCCAGCGGTTTCATGTAGACGTTAAACAGCAAAGGGGACAAAATGGACCCCTGCGGTACTCCATGGCATAGCTGCCATGGTGCAGAGCCATAGTCCCCCAGCACCACCTTCTGGAATCAGCCATTGAGATAGGAGCGGAACCACTGCAAAGCAGTGCCTCCGACCCCCACTCTCGCTAGCTTATCCAGAAGGATACTATGGTCGATGGTATCGAAACCCACTGAGAGTTCCAGAAGAACCAACAGGGCTTCTGTTGGCTGCTATATTGAACAGCATCTTTCTTCAGCCCCTAGCAAAGCTTTGTTTTTTCCCTATCAATGCAGGAAACATTGCTAGAGAAATAACTGGAGCATTTTGTCTTTCCTAGGAAAGACAGGACTTTTTTTTGGAGGTGGGTATTATGTTTTAAATTCAGGCATGCTAAGAATAAGCTACGCTGAATGTAGTGGGAATTACTTTTAGGCAAACGTGTGTAGGATTGAGCTGTCAACATCATGGCAAACTTGGGTTATATAAACACTCATGTGGCCAAGTGAAGTTAAATATATCTTGAGTGAAGTGAATTTTGATTTATTTCTAATCCTCAGTGAACAGATGTTCCTTCCACAGATATCTCAATTATGACCTGATAGTACCAACCTTGTTGCAGTAGTGATGACCAAATAGCCAAAAGGACACAATATAATAAGTTGTAGTTCTTTTTCCTGTCTAACCATGCATAGGATTTTATCCTACAGCAGTTCAGTTCCAAGTGTTTTCTGTGACACATAACTGGAAGCCTTATTGACAGTGCCAGATCTGTGTACTTTAGTCCTATAGCCCTATTGAAAATCCTATAGGGATTTTCTAGTAACTTTTCTAGAATAGGTTACTCTAATAAGTTTACCCAATTATTTCCTAAATTTTCATTTCCTAATGTTCATGTGTGTACTGCCTTCTCTGAAGTTGAGTAATGCGTGTTATGAATGTCCATAACTGCCAAGGTTAATTTCAACAAACACTGTAGTATCTTATTTAACTTGTCCCACTTTGAAAGAAATAGAGACTAGATGGGCAAACTCATAAGTACATTTATGGTTTGTTCATCAGTTTGTATGGATTACATGGAATTCCCTGCAAGTGTTAGATGTGAATGAAGAACTTTTATGCAGAGTATGAGATTGTTTTAAAGTTTACATGGAAGTTAGGCCTAAGATAGCAGTATATTCTCACCTCATTTATTCAAGAGTCCAGTCAACTGTAATGCTGTTCAGGCCATGGCACATGTAGGGGTGGTGCTGGAGGAGCAGGAGGAGGCTGGACAGAGTTTTAGTTAGCATCTTAATTTTCTATTCTTGGCTGTTCTGAATCATATATTAAATTGTCCTATTCAATCTACGCAACTCCCGGGCTCTTTATACTGTTCTTGTAATTGCAGGAAGGTCAGGGTCCTTATTTGTTCATTCTGGGTTTTTAAATTTCCTCCTGAACTGCTTTTATCTTGTGCACAAACTGGGTTCTCTTAGTATGTAAAAATCACTGCCTTATACTGGTCATTCAACTGTCTAAATTTGCTTTTAAGAGTGAGTAATTTGCCTCTATGGGAATTGCTAATTTCAAGCTTTTATACAAATGCAGCTTGCATTTTCATGATATGCTTTTACATTGTTACAAACTAAAGATAATTCATTCAAGAAATAAATACCAGTAATAATGGTGCTCAGGATTAACTTTGGAATGTCTTCCAAAGATAATTCAGTTATAACAAATTCAGATTATTTAATGTTATGCTTTTAGGCATTATGACAGTTGCAAAAGGAATAAAATTAATATACAGTAAAATAATTTGATTTAATAAAAATTAAATTGGAAACATTTGGAGACTTGCTAAGTGAAAAGCACATATGGAACTTTTATAGTTTAGCCTTCCCCAATCTGGTACCCTTCAAGTTTGTTGGAATACAATCCCCAGTATCCCCAGTCACCCATTAAGATAGCTTATTCTAGTTCTTCTTGACCCAGCTTACTCTGAGATCAGAACTCTGTACCCTGTTCTGTCAGATTTCTACACCTCAGCAGAACAGTATGATTTTTGTTCATTGTATCAATAACCATCTGGGCTAGATTGTAGAGGCCCCTGGCTATTTCTGTAGGGAAACTGTGGGCTTATACATTTGTCTTGTTCTGTGACATAGTTGTAAGATACAGCAAGTTGATAACTTTTTCTCTGGAGACTCCTTATTACAAGGGATTAACACTTTCCTTGATGACATTGACAATCCATTTTTAAAAACTTAATTTAAACATGTAATGTGCATTGTGGGTGGTAGGGTGGGATAGATCTATTTTCAAAAGTATTCTGCTATCTAGGTCATGACATGAAGTTACACAGCCATCTTTACAGATGTCTTAAAGATTTGAGCTCCATTAAAGTAAACATTTGAAGTGAGATTCTTTTCTTGCCAGAACCTTTATCTAGGGATAAAGATTCTACAAAGGAAAAAAGGGCCTTCATAGTTTCCCTGCTTCCTTTTAAGATTTCCTACTACTTCATGTTGAATAATGGTCAATAACAAAAAGGTATAGGGATACAAGAAGACAACAACACAAGTTAGTATACTGGGAAGACTTGAGGTGTATGCAGTCTCCTCTCCACCCTACCTACCCCCATATCTTGATGCTAGTAATTTCAGTGTTTGTGTTTTGTTTTTGGTTTAATATGAGTAGTATCAAGAGTTATCTGTTATTTATGCAACCTCTGGCTTAACAATAACTTTTTGGCTTCTGCCATGCAAGAGGCAGTCCTGTGGCAGGGCATTTAGGACATGTTAGATTATCAGCGCTAGGCAGGGTATCGTTACATGGCCAGGAATGTAGAATTCCAGCAGCACTTCTGGCTGCATTCTAAATCCATGCAGGTTTGAATGGTACACAGCTGGCATAATAAACTGAGTAACAAGATAAAAAGCAAAGTAAGTTTGAAAAGCAGTAGAAGCACTGCTTATCTGGGCTACTGACTGAGGAGGACACAATCCTCCTAGATTTAGTACTTGAATGATACTCATTGAATGTAAATGTAAGGACAACATACATATTCTTACCTACAAAACTATATAGCTTATGACAACCCCATAAAACAGGCAAGTATACATATTGTGCCATTACGAATGAACTTCAAGGAAGTGATATGGGTAACCAGGAACATAATTTGAAATATGATTTTGAAATATTGCATGTGATTTGGCTATTAGATTTCTCATATTATAGGATCACATGAGTTTATGAATTCATAGCAATTTGTAACTTGCTTTAAAAATAATTTTGTGGAATAATTTGTTAATAGTTAGAAATGCCACCCCCTTTGTAGCCTACACTCATGTCTGTTTGGGTTTTTTTTAAAAAAATTGCATTCTTTATTTTTAGGGTCTGGTCGTTTACCTAAAACAATTCATTTAATTTGTATTAATATGCATTTATTTCCAGATTTTCCTGGAACATACATAGCTCAAGTGCCAGTGTTTTTGAATGATGAAACAGCAGTTTACAGAACAGTCACTTTATCTGGGGCTGTGAAGTCACCCAAGATTAACTTTGAACCTCCACTTTTGATACTGACTCCTGTACCTCTCAATGTCAAAACAGGAGCAGATGTCCATGTAATTCCACAGGGTTATTTAAGGTAAATCCTCAAAGTACAATTTAAATTTCAGGAGATGACATTCTTCCTATAAATTATTATTTTCTCTCTAATCATTACAAGGTAATAGCTTTATGCTTTGGATGAATAGAAAAATAATAATTGCAAGAAGTAATGAAGTTGTAGAATGATTGTAAATTAGTTTATCAGTGATAGAAGCTTATCTATGTCACTTCTCTCCAGTCTTTTAATACTATCTGGGGTTGAGTGTTGAAATATTGCATTGTACAACTTTGACATTCAAGGCTTTTAAAAGAAATGGACAGAGCTGGGCGGAAAGCTCAGAGAGCTCACTAAAGACTCTTGGGACACAAATATAGGGCCACCAGTCCAACTTCTACTGTTTGGACATGATACAGAACCAAGAATTTGCTTTAGTAAAGATCATTTTAGACTTGTTTGGTAGTAAATGGTTTAGATGTTAATAGGCAATGCCTTATTTGTCCGACTTATGGTGTTGATTTAGTTACAGTAGCCCAAACTTGTTTATAGTATAGAAATACAAGTGGTTTCAGTATAGGGTAAGCCATGTTTCCCAGATTTTCTCTATTAATAAACTGTAGGTTTTGTCAATTACTTCATTCCTTGACTATGTGCAATGAATAGAATCTAAAGAACAATTCAACTAGTTCTGTGTGTCTTTGAGCTTATGTTTCATTAATAATAGCTCTCTGTTCTACATGACAAAACACTCTTGAAATTGAGAGGGAGTTTCAAGAACAGTAATATGGCATGGGATTATGCCGTTCAAAAGGAAAGGGAAAAATCTACTGGGATACTCAAACTCTTAGCCATACCAAAAGTTGTTTGAACCAAACACTGAATTTAATTACAAGCTAAATAATTAAAATTAAACTTCTTTGAAAATAGAAGGAATGAAGGGATATCCAGAAGGTGCATCAGGTTATTCACTTTCTGTCTATTTTACTATTCAGGAAATTTGACCAGGTAAAAGTATGCACATTGTAGAGTTGGGGCCCATTTCTTGTTCAATACTGACTGCTAAGATAGATTTGTCTGAATTTGAGAGTAATGAGGTGTTGACAGATTCATGGTTAACTAATGAAGTCTTGCAAGCAGTGTGAAAGTTTGTCTGCTTTGGGAAGGGTCGGACAATTTTTCAGGGTAGGCATTGGAGCAGACGCAATTGTGGCAGGAGTAATACACTGCCCAATTACAACATTTCTGGCATTCCAGCCATCAATGGCAATAGCCAGAAGAGGTGTTAGTAGCCTTACTGAAAGAGAGGGATAGATGGGAAGTTTTCAGTTGGGATTCAGCTCTTTATATGGGCAGATGGTTATTTGATTTAAATTGTTTCGATTTATATTGTTTATATTTATTGATTTATATTTGACTTCTTTGATTTATATTGTTTTCAAAACAGATAAGTTTCAATAAAGAACTATACTTCCAAGATTTTGATTCTAATTCAAAAGGAGAGGGAAAGAGGGAGATGACCTGCTCACAACACACATCATGAATTAAATTAATATAATAAAAAATCAGCATTATTTATCCTGTTTGTAAACTTCAAGTAAATAGTTCTTGTTTTATAGACTTTTTTGTAATAGTAATAGTGCCTTTTCAGATAACTAATTTTTTTTAAAAAAATCAGAGTAATTCTTTGAAACCTTATATTTTAATGTATATTTCAATGCTGTTACTTTGATCTCTAGGAAACATACCTTATTGGCTTGCTTTTTTAGGCGGTCAGTTATACAAGTTGAAATTCCAGAATTGGATTGTGGAGGTTATGAAGATGATGACCAGAGTAATCCCTTATCTGTTGACTTTCCAAATGGCAATGTAATTGAAATAGGTTCAGATGGAAACAGTATTGGATTCACTTGCTATGTTAGTTTCAGATCCTCAAAGCCATTGTCCTTTTTAAAGGAGTTGGTTTTTATAGATGGGGAAAAAAACAGGTATGCATACTAATGTTTTACTTGGTGCTGAAGTAACTTATAAGACATTTAAAAGATATGAACTAGCAGAGGGAAAATGTCTGTAGAATGCTACATTTGAAAGTGATGTAATTAATATATGTACGAGGGTATTAGGACAAACCTTCATCTACAACATTGTGCTTAAACTGCTATGTTAAAGCTCTATAAAGAATTTCACAGAATGTTTAACTCAGTGGTAGCTTTAGTACTTTTTTTGGCCCAATGGCAAAGGTGTCAGTGGGTCCATTGGTGTGGCCTTGTGAGCAATGTAGTTTGGTGAGTGGGCAGTGGATTCCCACTTTTCCATTGATTTTCCCATTCCCACTAATCTGAAAAAGTAGGACTGAAGAGTAGAATACAGAGTTTGTGACTGAGTTTGAGCGACGTGGCAGCACACTACAGCCAGCTAGCAGACACCATGTCATTTGAAACTGGAGTGTTTCCATGGGATGGCTTGATGTCATACCATGGTGGGCTGTTGTGCTGCCCAGATCTGGGTGTCCAGTGTCATCATGGTTATAGTTACAGAGACATGTGGCAAGAATGGCAATAAAGCCCATGCCACTCACTCTTCCCAATCTCAGTAGTGACTGCTGTTTTATCAGGACTGAAATGGTACTTTGGGAGACCTGTAACCCATTTTCTGGCCTTTCCCCCTGCCCTCACAGCTGAAATATGCAAGGCAATTGATCAGGCAAGACAGCCGTAAGTGCCCCCCTTCAAAAGACTGGTACACAAAAAACCTGAGTACAACTCCAACTATATATTTTTGAGACACTGAGAAAAGGCTGGGGAATGAAAAAGAAGTAGCAACCAGTATGAGACAAAATGGATTTGGCTGCAAAATCCTCTGGAGCTGGCTGGAAGACAGAGCGGGATGACATGGAAGAACAAACCTTGGCAATCACCTTTACCTGTTGGACCTACTCTGGTTGTTCTGTGGATAATCAATCCATCTTGTTTATTTGCAGGATGGCTTAGCATGACATGTGAACCAGTCCTATGTTTCCCTTTCAAGTGCTGCAGGCAGTTTAGGATAAGCTTGTTCCAGCACAGATTTAAGGAGAAGAGAGGACGGGAAGATAGCAGGTTTGATTGTGGGAGAGAAGGCAAAGAAAGCTCCAAGGAGAGGTTAAAGCTTAGTATAGGAATTTTGCTTGTCCTTTGACCTGACTCAGTTCATCCTTCCCTACCATTGGTTCCTGTGAGCTGCAGCTATTCTTTTTTCTCCTCTTTGCCACCAGGGGAAGAAGCCCTTCAAGAGTCATAGTAAAGATAGAAAAGAATATTAGCAAGCAAGTAGCTGGCTGCTACTGCTTCTTACTATTGAGGTCTTTTTGTGGTTAACAGAGTAGGAGCCCAAACAGATTTTTCATTAGAGGAAACCCTTTAATGAGCTGACCTTTTGTTGAGATGCTGTGCAACTGACTGAGTTGGCAATGTGACATAAAATTAATGAAAAAGTAAATATTGCAGAAGGCATTGATGTTGAAGTGACTCAATGCATAGGAAGAGACTGACAAGTGACAGTAGAAATTGTTGTATTTCTAGATTCTCCCTTCAGGTGTCTGCAATAACAGAGAACTGTATCCTTACTGTCTATCCTTACTTGGCATCTCACCTTACAGACCATCAGATTATCTGGAGAAGTGGTGAGTAGATAATACTTTATCTGTTTACAATCTGGACTGTATTTTAACTCTAAAACAGGTGGAGGGAACTTGTGGATGTCCAAAAATGTTTGTCAACAATTGCTAAATTCCTCACAGTAACTATGCTGGCCAGGAAGGATATGTGTAGCAGACCAAAACATCTGGAGGGCCATCTCTTCTTCAGAGGAGAGCTCATATCCTCATACTCTCTGATGTTTGTCATAATTAACAAGTGTACTGAGATTATGTTAAGAAAAGTTATGATTGTCTTGCACCATCAAACTATTGTAAAATTTTGAACCTAGTACAAGCTAATATATTTGATGGGTGAAAGGGGTATAAAATTTCAAATGAGTAAATGTACACTTGAAGAACAATAGATAAGAACCAGGAGGATTGAGACAGAGTGAGAAGCACTGGGATGAAATACACTAAATAAAGATTTAAAAGGTTATTGTATTAACAGCAATCATAATTATTGACTAGTCAAATAAATATCCAGGTTTTAGATGTTGAAATGTAATTCAGATATCTTAAATGTAAAGATTAGCTGTTGGGTTGGACTGAACTTTGATGTATTTGCTAACTTTTACGTGTTTTTGGTACTAATTATATTCAAGTTCTTCAACAATAATATTTAATGTGTTTTTCCCCTACTTGAAGACTAGAGATTTATTTATGTAGATTGCAGAATGAAATATGGATGTTTCTGTATTTATTCATTGCAGTAGTCATATAGAGCTTACATGTTGTTTGGATTATGTTTCAGACACTGCTGAAATCATTTACAACACAAGAGAAACTTTGCAACATTCATGCTACATTCCAGGAACATGTTCATCAACGTCTTCAAGTACTTTTGACACAGTTAGCAGCTCTCCTTATGACAGTTCCATTGCAGGTACAAAGGTTCTGTACAATGAAGATCAGAAATGTCTGTTAACTGAAAATTCAGAAGCTACCTTAAGGCTCTGTGATAGATTCTGTATTTGCAGCATGATTATAGCTATGTTTTCAGAGATCTATAAATATGAAAGACATACCAATTTCTAGAGTTGCTAGGTGGTGTCCATGTTCCCATTTACTCAGCAAACAAAACTGAATTAACTAGGCTGATCAGTTATTTGTGCTTGCTTGTTGGCAGATTTTGAAAACAAAAACCAGTGTCTGGTTGGATTCACACAACAAGATAAACTATGCCACAACAGTTTCCACCATAGTTATGTTGTGTGTGAAACCAGTCAGGGATCTTTTTTGCTCATTCAGGAGCAAACCATCCCAAAATACTTCACATGAAATGGAACAATTGATTTAAGGAGAGCTCTTGATTCATTCAGTAACATTACACATTTTGACTTCCAGTAAAGGTATTTCATAGTGTTAATTTTATGGTGGGTGTTGTAATGTACAAACAATTGTGTGATTGCATTGGAAAAATAATGCATTCACAATCATCCCACCTAATTTATCAAGTTCCAGTATGAAGCTTTTAGTTATATTTGATTTGGTCTGATAGCTAATGATTTTCCATAGTATAGATTAGAGAAACTGCTGATTAGTGTACCAGTCATTCTAGTCTATGGACATGCCTGAAGTGCTTGGTTTGTTTTCCAGCAAAAGTGGAATGTAAAAGAAAATGAGTACTTTGCTTATTGTTTGCTCTAGACGGTAGTACAATTAAACTATATTATTTTTTTGTGCAGAATTAGAAATGATGCTTGAAAATGAAAGGATAAAGACTGATTTTATCAGCAAAAGTGGACAGATTAATTGCACATTTGGACAATCGTTTTTTCCTGCTGAAGGCACACAGGAATATGCCTTTTTCCAGAAAGTTATTACAGCAGTTCAGAATTGGTTTACTCTCTTCGGGTGGTCTAAAGGACCAAATCCCATTTCTATTCCACATTCCCTGAGACGGTACTAGCACTTTGTTTTCTCAGACTGCTCTCTTTCAAGAAAAAGTGATGCTTTCTCAATTTGACTAGATGTTTTACTTCAATTATTTATAATGTATTTTTATGTGTGTTTCAGCTGTGAGATTGGAGGGAGAAACTCAACATGACACCCTAGTTTTAAACAAAATTTAAAAGGTTTACCTAATAAAGAATAAAAGAACCCTGAATACATGCTTTGTTTTAGACAGGGATGGAGTTCCTATTTCCCGCATCTTTTTAAAAGCAGAAGAATTGAATGTATAGGGTATATTTGAGTCCTGCTAGCTTTGTCAACTAAAGGGCTGACAATGAGAGATAAGGCTATTAATGATCATTAACCACGATGGCTATATATTATCTCTACTACTGAAGACAGGATAACGCTGTATACCAGTTGCTGATAATATGAAAAATGGATGATACTGTACTCATGGGGTTCCCACAGGCAGTTGGTTGGTGACTTTGTGAACAAGATGCTGGATTAAATTGGCCTTTGGTCTCCTTCAGCATGGCTCTTTAATGTTATGTTTTTTTGGGTTAGTAGTCCAATCCCCTAATTGCATTTTGACAAACTGTATGCTTTCCATGAGGTTACTCTCTTGAGTAATTTGGTTCCCACTTATTAAAACAGCATAGAAGCCGGATAGTTCCATATCTTTTATGTTTGTAATAGATACCAGGGTCCATTAAAGAATTGATACCTGTCAGAGGAGTATGAATCTGCAATGTTATGCCCACTTACCTAGGAGAAATTCCCATCAAAATCAGTGAGCCTTATTTCTGGATAGACATATATCATATTGCATTCTAAATTACCCAACAGTGCAATTATCATGGTATAAAATGCAACAGTATCTCCTATATACTGTTACATTTTATACCGTGATAATTGTCTATAGAAGAATAAAATAAGGTTACAATCCTATACGTATTTCCCCCCTTCCTGCCAAAAAAGACTTGCAACATTTCCTGGCTATTCTGTCTAGAAATGTATAGGCTTGTACCCCAAGCTAACATAGGTAGGATTCAATCAAGTCTACTGGTTTTAAGATTTAAATAGCATGTTTACATAAATGTTATGGGCCCCGTGAAGAGCTCTGTATAAGCACTGACACCAATAAAGAGTCTCATTGCACCTTAAAGACAAACACATTTGTTTTAGCTTGCATGGTTGTCATCTGAAGCCAAAATCTGATTATCAGTCCTTGCCACGAGACCCTGCGCTACTTTCCTGCCATAGACGAACAGAGCCAGCCTCTGAGAGCAGATAAGAATCTGAATCACTGCAGTGGGAAACATGTCTTGGATCTTCAGTAAGAGTCATCCATGTATTTGTAAGCTGGCTTTTGATGAAACAAATTTGTTCTTATCCCCTATCCAGTGATGTCTGTAAAATTCAGATGACTTCTTCCGATGAAAAAGTTAAAGCAAATCTTGGTAAAGATATCAAGACCATTTATGATATGCTGCTCCATCTGTGTGGGCAGTTATTGCCCGGCATTAGTTCAAGCCAATCTTTGCCCTTTGATCCTGTCCACCGTGTGGTGCAGCTCCACTGGCAACATACTACAATGCTCACTTTTCTCAAGTAAGTGACTTAAAAATATTGTACTATTTGCAGCTTTCTTGAAATAGTTTCAGATTTATATTTTTCCTATTGCACTAATTTGTCTTTATACTGTCTGTTTTAAATGATATCACAATGAGTTTACAAGAATTAGCAATGTTTTTTCTGTATTTTCTAAGTATTTTCAGGGTCTCCTGCCCCCCCCCCCCCGATAGTTCAGGTACCAGTAAATATTATTTAGGTGATGTTTATCTATACATCAAATGCTAGAAAAACAGCAGCTTAGCTTGATGGACTTTCTTTTTTATATTTCCCTTGATGAATTTTGATAGGCATAGACTAAGAACAATACTGATCACATAGAACTTATGTCATTTAGCAGGACAATATTTTACTTCAGTGCTTGCCTAGATTACAAGAATATAGCAGACCACACTTTGGGATCACACAATGGGCAGGAATCAGAAGTACTTTGGTCAAGATGCTGGTGCCCTGGCTTGACCTGCCTGTGGCTCCTCTTCCAGCTGATGACACAGAGAAGAAGGAATCAAAGCCAAAGACACATAACCCCTAATTTGAGCCCATATGGTGCCTGGCACCTTCACAATCCAGGTGGTCTTCATGTTATCGTGACATTTTTTCTGCATATATAAATGCAAATGAAAATATAAATTTAATTATAAACTGGAACTGGTTTTTGAAGGTTAGAATATTGGACTGGGGACCTGGAAGATCTGGGTTCTAGTCTCCACTTGACCATGTATCACTCTGGGTGGCTTTGGGCTAGTCATTCACTCTCAGCCTAAACAACCTCATAGGCTTGTTGTTGGTATGATAGAATGGAGTGGAAGAAAACTAAGTTGCCTTGGGTTCCTTACAAGAGGAGAAAAGCAGGATATAAATGCAATTCAATCATATTCGTCCCTAGCATTCCCTGTGAGAGGTAAATCCTGCATGTGACTAGACCTGGGGACAGGGCGCAATGCAGTTGATAAATATATTTATATATTTGTTCAAAAATTCTGACTTTGCCTTTGGACCATTTTGAATATTTCAGTCTTAATGAAACTGCTGAATATCTCTTTTATATATGTTCATATGAGAGCTGTACCATTTATAGCATAGCCACTTGTATGGTGAGCTTAGCATTTGCCAAGTGCTTCGCATATTTAGGTAGCACATCTGGCCAGGTGTTAACTACTATCACATGTTTTTGGTTGCCTCCATATGGGGCAGTGAGGATTATACTTAAGATGTCATTCAATTAATGTTAATATCTTTTGTTATCACACAAGTCCTTTCCCTTGAAGAGGACAGGGACTTTTACATGTTGTTATGCTATGTCCATGTTTTCAATCAGGCATTGAAAGAATACCATATTTACCATCCATGTCTGACAGAAGAATGCTTCAGGCAGATTTTAGCATAGTTGTGTTTTGTTCCTGCAAGCTGTAGTGCTCGATACATTATTTTTTTTGTTCCTGACCCTACTGCCTTCTATGTGCATGTCTAATTTCTATAGTGTTCTTCAGGTCCTAAAAAAACAAATATGGAACAATAGATTTTGCAGTGAGGCAATATGCTAAGATTTAGATGAACCTTCAGCACAAAGCATAGGTCACTGTAGCTCACGCTAAAGTTCTTTTGATATAGAAATTGCCCAATATAGTTAATAAAACTGGCTCATTACCCTGAGTTTCCCTCAAATATAAACTCTAGTGGGCATGAACTAGATCTCAAAATGACACTGGCTGGAAGTGCTGATAAGGATGTTTAATTTTTAGTGTGACTCGTGATTGGATAAGGCAGAGGAACCAGGACATTTCAGCAATTCTTTTAAAAGGAAAGCAAAATGCATTGCTTTTAAGCAATGGCACTTAGGCATACAGAATTAAGTCACCATGTAAAATAAATGAAATATATTGACTTTATATTGTAGTTGATAACTTTGTCATGAGTGTTTTTCAGTGAGTAATATCTATGTTCTTGAGACCAATGTTAAGGAAATAATTGAATGTATAATAATTAGAACCTTATTCTAAAAATCAGATGTTTATCCCTTTTTTCTGCATTAAAAATTTATTACCCCTACCAATTTTGCAAACAAAAAAAAAGTGACCAGAAGACAATTTTTATATAATCAGATATGTGACTTTTGTATTTAGTCTGAAATCCTGTGCATTCCTATGGTGGAGTAAGCCCAGTTGTACATATTGATACTTGTTTCTGAGTAAACATGTATAATGCATAGGCTTATGTTGCCAATGAGGTTGAAACAGAACTTGCTCTGAGGTTGAAATTATGATTGATGAGCAAGAAATTAGACTAATGGAGCACATTAGCTTAGATGACTTTGGCACAAAGAGAGTTGGAAATAACATTTAAATAGGAGATTTGGCTTCTTAGCATAGATATTTCAGTGGTTAACTGTGGGTAAACCACAATAAATCCATAGTTCACAGCTGAACTGCAAACCATGGGTTCTTTGTAGTTAACAAACCATAGTTTGTTATTATGGCTGCGTTCATACAACATAACTCACAATGCAGCAATAACCATATTCAACCTTGATTGTGAGTGGTTGTGTTGTGTGAACCAGTTGGCATCTTGCGCCCTAGAATGATCACTGGGGCTAGAAAGAGATGGTTTTCCTCCTCAATTGCCTTCATACAAGAGAAGAGTGACTGGTGGGACTGTTCAGAGGGAGCACTTTTGGAATAAGAAGATCCTTCAGGTTATCACTTTGTCTGTGTAATTTGCTTAGTGATCACCCTACAGTTAGTCTAGTGAAGTAGTAGCTTCAATCAGCAGGTGCTGAAGGCTGGAGATATTAAAGAACAGAGCTCTGTGTGCCACAGAGCCTGTCTTGTGTTGTTTAAGCTAGGCTGTTACCCACAGCTCTGCTGAAGGATGCTGTTCCACTGCCAGTGTTGAAATAAGACTGAATAAGCAGTCTTGACTGAGGGAAAACTGATGGGAGTAGAGATGCACCTGGTTCAGGTTAAATAATTCCTAGGCAATGAAGTTGGAAAAATGTAGGTAGTGAAGAAATAAGTCAGGAGCATGTGACAAAACATGATAACTAGAGGGCTATGTTCTAAAACATTATTTGCTCACATCTGGAGTGGGATACTGTGTTTATATGCTTCTGTGCAAATAATGGAAGCCTAGTTTTCCCCTCAAAATAAGGGGAGCTGGAGTGCCTAGGGTCTAGACATAGTAGGCATTATGGAAACATGATGGTGTGGGAAGAGCAGCTTTTATTTTATTTTATTTATTTGAGTTTAAGTAAAAATGTGAGTAAGGGAAGACATGATAGATATGTTCATAATTATGTATGGTGTAGAAGGAGTGGAGAGGGAGATATTTTTCCCTCTCCAAATGCTTAGAACACGGGGTCATTAGAGAGTTTAACCTTTAATGGAGAGTAATAACATCATGTAGCTGGATACCATCTCTCACCATTGTAGAGGATTCCAGATTTACTGAGCTGATGGGCTGGTATGTTCACAAGGTCAAGTTGAAGAAAATTGACAAAGTTCTGCTGTCTTTTTCTCAAGAGTTTGCTCAAGACATCTTGCTATATGAAATAGAGTTCTAGCAAATCCATTCCTTGCTAGAACTGACACATTAAATAGTTTTTCCTTCAAATATTGTCACTTCATCTTCCTGAATGACAGGACCAACCCAGTAACCCATGACTGCCTTTCAAGGAATGAAAGGAAAAGAACGGTGGTTGATTTAATATCGTAAAGACTGGAAGAAATTATAATCCATTGCATCTTTTATTATGTAAACTACAGCTTTTTCTACAGAAACATGTCCATTTTTGTACCATAAAGATGAGTGAGATGAGTGTTAATGTGGATGTAACTTAATATTTAGGTCACCTTAACATGTTTTGATCTTCTGTTCATATTAGATTCTTTGGAAAAATGTCCTACCAGTATATTTCAGCTGTGTGGCCATGGAAAACAGGTCTCTGAATATGGAGTGCAAGGAATCCCTTTCCAGGATTTTATTTATTGTTTGTCATTGTTTCTATATTTTTAGAGGCCAAGGAGCATCCCTTTCTCACATTTTGCCGCAATTTCTTCTTGACTTTGAGGATTATAAGAAGTGGATGTCTTTACACCTTATGGAAAAAGTAATTTAGCTAACAGGTTTATCTATGCATTTCAATTTTGATTTTAATTGCTAATAAATAAAGCCTTTCTTCAGTGTGTTGACTACATGTAACACTGTAGTTAAACACCAGTTTTGCTAAATCTGCCACTTCTTTCATTTTGCTAGTGAGTTTTTTACCACTACCTAGCATTTTATGTTTTTTGCTTCATAAGAAACGCACGCAATGGAGATATCATACCAGTGATGCACAAAATTGCCTACTGGGATTTTCTTTTTTCTGGATGACAATCTCTAAACAGTGCAATTCTATGTATATATTGAAGCAAATTCAAACTACCAATTAAATGTGGATAGAATTGCAGTACTATTTTGTATATTTCAATATAGAATATTGAACATGGCACCTCCAGCATTTGCAGATTTGGTTGTGCATTCAGAACAAGTTTATTTGTGGCAATTATATTATATTATTTATTTAAAACATTTTTATGCCACCCCCATTGCAACAAAGCCTCGGGGCGGCTCACAACAACAACAACAACAACAACAACAACAACAAAAAAGAAATTTAGGACTCTATTATATGAGCTAGAGTGAAATCAACATGGAAATCACAGTTATTTCATCTTTATTTGGAGGTTCAGAAGCTTAATCCTGGTGATAGCTTTATATATGTTTTGGATGAATCTCTGTTTGAGGCTATGAGCAAACGATCATGGACAGATGTGCTGCTTCAGATATACAAGGTGAGATGATTATGGCTTTGTTTCATTTAAGCTGAGTTCAGACATAGCATGGAAAAAGGGTTTGGGTTAAACATAGTTAAGAGCACACACCATGGTCTGAATGTGTGTGATGTACAGTAGACAAACCATAGTTTAAAACTGAAACTTTTTTTCACTTTTGTTCAGTATTCATCTTCATAAGTTTTTCACAGTATCTATGGTGCTGCTGCTTCTTCAGATGGTGAAATGATTTTAACTCTAGTTTGTCATTTCTTTGTGAATGCATAAGTAATAATAAGTCACAGTTGTCATAAACTGTGACTTGTAGAAGAGCTTCATACTGTGGTTTCAGATCCTGGGTTGTTGATTCCAAACAAGATTGGGGGTAGGCTAGGGTTCAGACATCCAAGGCAAAGCCATAGAGAATTTCATGCTTGCTTGGGATGTGCATGATCGCTTGATGATAGTTATATCTACCCTTATAACAAAAAGCTTTCAGAGTGTCTTACACAATAAACATTAAAAACAGATTTTAAACAACAACAAATATATGTTATACTTTTCAGAAAAAATGCATTAATAAAAGATAACAGTATTTCTGTACATGTCTGAATATATTTTCAATATCTGGGGAGTAAACTCAGTGGAGATCCCTGATAATTTTAGTCTGGTGCTGGGAAAACCTTTATCCTTTTTGGCTTAGCCTGTCCTCTGCCACAGGACAGGCTATGCTTGGTCTGGTAGAGCTGGCTTGAAATAACTTGATAGGTGAAATTAACAGCAGGACAAGGTCAGTTACTTTGAGTCTATGGTGCAGTGGAACATACCTGTAAGATTCCTTGGAAGGGAGATCAGAATTGAGACTTCAGGACCTAAACCAGAAAGAATTTTTGTTAATAGGCAATAAGAGGTAAAACATTTCCCTGTGGGGGGCTATTCCAGAAGCAAAGGGAGAGAACTACATGAAGTACTTCATCCACAGTAGTGCAAAATCTCAGATTGTAACTAGGCATGCTAGGATGATGAAATAGTAAATGTCTGTTTGAAAATAGGAAATACCACTATTATTTCAATCAATTTCTATTGTAAATATAAATGTCCCTAGTGATGTATTAGGGACTGCAGGTGGCACAGTGGTTTAAACTGCTGTGCTGCTGGGCTGGTTGATCGAAACGTCACTGGTTCAAATCTGCACAATGGGGTGAGTTCCCGTTGCTCTGTCCCAGCTCCTGCCAACCATGCAGTTCGAAAGCATGCAAATGCAAGTAGATAAAAAGGTACCACTTCAGAGGGCTGGGAACAGTGTTCCGTGCACTTCGGTGTTTAGTCATGTTGGCCACATGACCACGGAGACTGTCTGCGGACCAACGCTGGCTCCCTTGGCTAGGAAACGGAGATGAGCACCGCCCCCTAGAGTCAGGCATGACTGGACTTAATGTCAAGGAGAAACCTTTTAGTGATGTATGGAATAGAAATATCCTTATGTTAGTGGAACTGGATATTAATGTTAGGTGGTGCAGTGGGTAACACTGATTAAATTCATGGGACTTATTTTAAGGACTGGGCTTTTAATTATTTTTTGTTGTTGATTATATAGAATAGATAGTTTAATAGTTCATCTATTTCAGATTTTGGTTCTCCAGCGTGTCTCTGTTCTTGAGGACTATAGCCAGACCAATTCAGAAGACACAGAACACATTCCAAGGATAAGTGTTGACCCTTTGTCTAGTAATATATATTCTTCGTGTGAAAGAATTCTTCTTGTTTGGATGAATAGACATTTTGAGAAGATGCGAAAAATTGTATGGAAGAACTGCAAGAAAGGTGGGGTCAAATATTGAATTGATTAACTAGCCTTTTTGTAGTCCTGTTTTCTTCACCTGTAGGAAATTTTCTGTTGTACTTTTTCTATTGTAGTAGCAATGTTGGTCTTCTAAGTAGTTTATAATAAATTTAGAGTTGGTCATAACAAAATGTAATTTTCTCAGATACTGAAATATGAAGCTGTGATTGATGACTCTCACTCTCTGAAATATCATTGTCCCAGCATAAAAAGTATTTGTAAAGCCATTTAAAAATTTAATGGTTTCAATATTTCTTTGTGAAGCAAATGGCTTTTACCAAAATAGGACTTTTCTGTAACTGAGAAAACCAAGGAATCCTGTGGAAAGAGCATTTTTAAAAGTCAATTATGTGACTTCAGTAACAGTGCTATGTACTGCTCACATTTTAGTTATTTTATTATACCACTAAAAATATAAAAAGCTATGAACACTAGCACAATTCCTCCCATGGCATAGATTGTCTCTGCAATTCTGAATTTGATCTCTTAGTAGTTAGATTAATGCAATCTGAGTTAGAAGAGCATTAACATTTAAAGTAACACATAAAATATTCTTTTGATATGAAATTACTATTTAATAGTATTATATATCTTTGGTGCATTTGATGCAAAAAAGTCACATGGCTCATGACACAAATACAGTAATTTTCATTATAAGTATGTCTAGTGGCTGAATATTTTGAAATGCCTTGTTTAAAATACAGCTGATACAGATTTGCTGATACCTTTGCCACTGCCAAGACTGTTTACATAAATTATTTTATTTATGCTTTTATTATATTTATACCCTGCCCTTTTTTCTTGCAAGGAACTCAAACTCAACTCCATAATTCTCTTCCTCCTCTCAATCTTATCCTTACAACAACCTGTGAGGTAGGTTGTGCTGAGGGTCTGTGACCAGCCCAAAGTCCCTCAGTGAGTTCCAAAACTGAGTGGGGTCTATAACCCAGACCACCTGGGTCCCTGTCCTACACTCTTACGTACAATGCCACACTGACTCGCTATCCTCTACTTCTTCATTTTTCCATCTTTCCATTCCTCAAAGTGATGCATCCTTTAAATGCTTCCTTAAAACTATTTTAATTAATGATCAGCATAATGTTATTATGCATTATTTTTTTGAAACTGCTGCCATCCCCTCATTAACAGTTTGATCCTCTTCAATTCTGTATCATGAAAACAGAGCTTAGGGACAGGGTCTAAAGACCATTCTGTAGCTCAATGCAGAATGTTATGCTAGGCTTGCAACCCGAACAGGCCAGTGCTTTAGAAAGGACCCAAGTATAGGCTGAAGGGCTGACTGGACCCTTAACATAAGCCAGAGGGTTCAGTGGGGGCCTGGCCTTAGCTACAAACCCATTACTATGACAAAGTCTAAATTGCAAAGGTCTGAACATTTATTTCCCCATATCTGCAAGAGGTGTTTAGTGAGACTAGTTGAAGCTAACCAGAAGCAATGTTAGAACAAAACAAGAAACTAGTGAGCTACAATGATAAAGCGAGTATGAGTTGTGTCACGGGGTGCCAAGATACACAACTCAGATTTCCTTTGTTCCTATTGGCATTTCCTATGTGGAGACAGAAGAATCCAACAAGGTGGAATAGTGGACTGGCAATAGAAAGGAAGGGCAAGAAACTAAGGGTATATGGAAATTTAACTTAATGTTAGCAACTGTTGTGAATGTAAATATGAACAGGAGATTGTTCTTTTGGAAAAAGCCAGTAAATTCCCCCAACAGTGTTAAAATGCGTATTTTTCAAAACATAACTGGTTTTCCCATCCCTACAAGCAACAGCAGAGACACTGAAGGCAAACTAGAAATGCCCTATAATGAAACTTCCATTTTATGTTCATTTTTTTTTAAAAAATGCAAATAGCAACAGATGGCAGTGGCTGACAGTTACCAGGATTGCAGCAGGTGGGGAGTGAAAATTTAATCATTTTGTTCCCTGCTTATGGGTCCTAATGAAAAATTCTCCCCAGAAGCCGCTATTTGGACTTGGAATAAATCTCCAATTGGTACTACATAATAAGCCTCAGCCACTTAGGTAGTTATTTCTGTGGGAAACCATCATGATGTAGAAATGTTTTTAGCAGCTTATATGTGGCTCTTGTAATGTGTAAAGTATTTCTAACCTGTTAATTTGTTTCCTGTATTGGCCACTGTACTAGTTTGAGTAATTGCTTTCTGATATTTGTGGGTCAGTACTAAATCACAAAATTTTATTTTAGATTTACATTCCACTTTTTTCTTACACAAACTCAAAGGGGCGTACTTCATTCTCCTCCTCCTGCTCTTAATCTTATTCCAACAACAACCCTGTGAGGTGGGTTGAGCTGAGAGTCTGTGTCTGGCCCAAAGTCACCCAGTTGGCTCCATGGCTGAGTGGGGACTAGAACCCAGATCCTCTGAGTCCTAGCACTGTGCTCTTAACTAGTATAATGCACTAGCTCTTGTCATACTGGCAAGAATTTCATTTGATGATGATGATCGAATTTTCCTTTTTAATGTTTATTATTAAAACTTTATGTTGCATTACTTCTTTTTAGCAGTACCGTTGTTGATAGCAGAACTGGACCTTTAGGAGCTCTTAAACCCAGTCAGCTGGCAATTCTATCTGAAAGTCTGCCAGTAAACAAAAAGCGTGGTGGTTTTGGTATTTAGTAAGCTTTAGAGCAAACACCACCTTCAGTTCCATACAAGTGAACTTCAGCATAAAATTGAAATAAAATCTTTGAAGTAGCTGCCATTGAAAAGTCAGGTAAAGGGACAGGTCATAAGTTTGATCTTGCATGTACTCATAAATGATATCCTCAGGCTCTTTGTTGCAACAAGGGCACTGTATAAAGTGCTTTTTTCATAATCTTTTCCCCTGAACAGTGAACATCTCTTAAACTCTGGCACTTATTCAGGTGATAAGAATGCCTATAAGAAGCCTGCTTGAAGAACAGTTTTTGACCTATACTTAAATGCAGTTTTGGCTTAATTAAGACTTCACAGTCTTGCACATCAAAAGTCAGCAGGAGATAATCTGTAAATGCAGAGTGACATTTTTACCATGAATTACATACCTTTTTGATGTTGCACATTTTATTAAATCTGGAAGAGGACATGTATGTGCAAACTACCTAGAATATGTAGGTTAACATCAGGGTTTGAAAACTGTTGGGCAGCTTCCAAGGCCCCTGCAGGCCAGAAGGAAGGCCTTGCTATAGACCAGAGCCCCCTGCTGCTCCTCCTGTCATCACCAATTGCCCATTTGTCACTTTGCTCAGGTGAGCAGTGACAGCAGGTGCCATTTGCTGCCCTTTCCCTCTGGGCATCAGTGAGGACTGGGGCGAGTTCCCAGAGAGGAAGGAAAGGAGACTGCAATTGCAGTTGCTGTTTCTCCTCTGTATTGTCACATGTTCACCTGCCAGGAGTGGCAATGATGGGGAACCAGCAGTTTTGGAAACGAGGACATCTCTGCTTTCATCTGATTTTGCTACGTTTTCCATATGCCAATGTTCCACATGAGGGAAAGAAAGACCTGAGTGAACTGTGCATCCAGGCTGAAAAACTGGATGCATCTACACATGTTTAATTTATTGTGTGTGTATGTTTACTGCATTATTTATTATGTCGCCTCAAATGACCTTGGCAAAGAATAACAGTGCTGTAACAGGATGTTTCTGAGACCATGGGGCAGCTTCATCTACAAAATTGTTTAGCAGCCTGCCTGCTTGAATTTAAATGCCATCATTTGAAAGGCAATCTTCTTATTTGAGACCTTAGAACACAGGTCGAAACTCCCAGATTTTCAGGGGCCACATTTCAAAGAAAGAAACTCAAAGGGGAAAGTATTATGTATTTTAATGTGTTTTTAACCTAAACAAACTTGACTTCAAAGAAGCACAAAAAATGTAATAGAAAAATTATGGCCCTTGTTGTACTGGAAACTTTAAAAGGAACTCTAAACTTTTAAAGTTTTGCCCCCCTTTTTGTGAGTTAATAGTTCCTAACTGATCATAAACAAAAGAAAAAAATGATGTTCGTTCAGGCTGATCTCATGCATAAAACTATGCCTCCAATTTGAACCTCAAGTTGCAAGGTTGCATGTCAGAACTGCTGTTGATATTATTACACTTCTAGGGTAGGTAAAGATTGTGGTAGGCAGCAACATGGCGCCCATGTATGCAAGTGCTCCTGGGCACACAGATTTTCTGGTGGCTTCTGAGGTGCTCTATTCCCCTGCCATACTTATTCTTTTGTTTTTAAGGAAACATTTTTTTTCAGCAGCTAGAATCAGTTCAAAGTAAATAAGGGTATTCATTTCTCATAAATGTCTCCAGGCCACATGTGGGGCTTAGGGAAAGGGGCCTACGGGTGATGAGCCAAGGTGAAAGGCAATGTATGAGCTGTTATCTGCGGAGGGGATGAGATGGAATGGATGATTTCATACAACACTACAACCCGCTTTGCGAATAAGCTACACAGTGTGGGTTGTTCATGGAAAAGCCTCAGTGCATTTGGCAGTCAATTGGCCTTACCATAGGATGCTCTCCTTCCCCTTTCCACTGGCCCTCCAGCCGTTATTTCAGGGTCCTACATGGCAGAACTGGTTTTGTTTCCCTTCCCTGTTCAAAGTGCAAACTGTTTTCATTTTGAGGTTGTGTTTCTTTCTTGACCCCTGTTGCCCCAGTGGCAGATGATCCATTAGTGCCCACCTGAAAGCCATGAACTCTCCCTGTAGTTCCCTGTTGAAAAAAATGCTTAGGTTAGAAGAAAAGAAACCTTTCTTTTTGACAGCTGTCAAAGGAAAGTGCTTGTAAAAAGAGGTGAGGATACCAAGAGGAAGTACGGGAAAGATGGAGGGGGCTGTGAACAGTTGCGGCAACACTAAAAATCTAGAAGATCACAACCATAGGGGAGAAATGTGCTTGTTACCACCTTTCAAGGGGAAAAACTGTCTACTGCTTTGCTTTTGAGTGGGTACTTGA